TCAATTCATGCTCTCAACTATAATTTCCATAACCCCATACTGATATTTTAATACAAATAAAACTAATTGAAGATTGAATAATCTGATTTCTGGTTTATCTTCAAACAGAATTACAATATTCCTATACTACACAGTGTAAATTTACAACATTATCAATAGAATCCGATGAATACTGAAATAAGACTAGATAAACATTTCATTGATCAATTCTATCTTGTAACCAATCAGTATCTCTTAGTTACAATACATTATCCAATTTAAATATGTTCTGAATAATTATAGAAAATAAAATCCCAGCCAATAAAATACTATCTGACCTATAAAAGCCTAATCTAAACAATGAATTAGACAAAGAATATCAGGTGATTGATTTTGATTTTAATTCCTATGGAAACTGAGAATACAGCGAAACAAAAAATAATACATTAACTTTTAAATAATGAGAATCAAAATGTATGGAAATAATATCTCCTCAAAAAATATTGGATTTTGAACAGATGATCATTATTATTATTATTATTATTATTATTATTATTATTATTATTATTATTATTATTATTATTATTAATCTATATGGATCTAATGTGACGATGTTGAAAAACCTTTTGTATTAATATTTAACCTACTGATAAAGTTTGTCAGTAGCACAACTAGTAGAACAAAAATAGCCAGGATTACTTAGGTCAACATGCGTCACAAATGAAAGTAAACAGTTATCTATAAATTATAATCACATTTTATCAAAGAGTAACTATAATTAAAATAAATCTATATGAGTTGTTGAATCGATGAATAAGTGGTAAATAGTAAGCAGTTTTAGATTTAGATCATGAATCAATTGATGTTAGACTACCATTGAAAACCTAGAAGCACTGGACGGCCGTTTCATTCTATTATGGGACACATCGACGATGCCATCTCACGGGATTTGGGACTAAAACTTTCGGTCTGGTGTACTGCTGAGAAGTCCCTTAATAGAAAGAACCTGCCATCTAGTGCTTTCAGGTTTTCAATGGTGGTTTAACATCAATCGATTCATGATCTCAATCAAAAAGAATAAGTGACACTCTGATCACTATAAGACTCTGTGGACATTAAGAAATATATATTGAAGTGAAATCACTAGGACAGAACGAAAGGGATAAAATTGTGTTATCATTATCATTATCTAATCATCCATATTGAGTATGTAATTAAAGATTGTAGATGTTTCACTCTGAAGTTTATCTATGTCAATGACTTTTATTACCGTCTTTTGACAAACGTTGAAACTGTCGTCCACTAGCTAGTGTTCTCAAGGTTACGTACTACAGAAAAATATGGATATACTTTCAGCGTTGATGTGATATAATAATAACTGGGTTAATTCCGTTTTTCTCCTCTTATTTGGATTTGGTTATGGCCAGTATAAAATTATTATTCTTAAGGCATGATTTAAAATCATATAAGTCAGTACTTTGAAAAGTATTACTATGTGGAGTACAATTTTTGTTTGATTACGTAACTTATGGTAAAAAATGGATAGATAAACATGAATAGATTAAGAAATATATATTCTGTGATAATATATTTACTTTTATAAAGGCAATAGGGGGTTTGAAAGTCTTTATTAATACAACGAAAGTCTTCTGAAGATATTCAGAAATCTAATACACTTACAAGTAGTAAGAGGCATTCCTTTGTATCTGGTATCTTTGTCTGAAGCCCACTTGGCGTTACTGAAGGTACAAAGCCTAGGTAAATTAGAGGGATGGAGAGTAGGGTTGGAAAACTCACCTTATAAAGTGGAATCCCATCAAGAAAACTTAACTTGAAGAAATCAATAACATTATACCCTGGGAGTTGAAGGGTTTACAAATGTACGAGTTGTAATAACTGATTACGAAGGCCGATGTTCATAGAAAGCCACAAAGCCAGCATCCCTTTTAACAGTCTCATTTCTAATTTAACCGTCGTTTTAGTAGATTACTACTGAAGAAATAAAACAGTATTAGGTCATCACTGAACTTCATATACACAAGAATTCCTGGACAACTCATTTATCAGAAAATCATTTTTTGTGTGTTTTGCTAATTTCAAAGTAGAATAAACTACTTAACATAAGAACATAATACTGATTATGTTGAATCCCTTATTGCCAATGATCACATCGTAACTTGGCTAACAGAATTTGACCAAGACTAAGAACTAAACAAACACGAACTTGAAATGAATAACTTAATGATGACGTGATATTGAGTGATACTGATTCGTATTCCATAATAAACATCAATTCCCCAATGATTTTTTAGAGTTTACTGCACGTAATAACCTTAATTATTACACCAATTATAAATTGTTTTATCATAGTATTTAAGTACTCTACAGAGCTCATATTCGACTATACCAAGGATCGTAATGCGAACATCGAGTTTGCCTTGGTGAGTAAACGACCTTGAAATCAATTATTTGGAACCTGAAGGTTTATGCTTCTAACTTCAATCAACCCCACTATATTGTATGGTCGATCGTCTTTCAATAGCCTCACCCTAATTTGTTTAAACATCATTAGAAATATCTATCTCATTTAATCTGTTATAGCATCAATGATATTTAATAGATTAGTTTATTGGAAATCAATCATAAAATTATCGATTAATTCTTTATTATAATCGAATATCTTTATTAATTACCTATATATCGATCGATTATTATTATTGTTTCAAGGACTCGATCATTTAAATTTGTTATTCATTAGAGATTAGTATTTAGTGAGTAGTAAGTAATTGTGTCATTATATTCTGTTCTACATTCACTTCTATGTTGAAATACTCAATTGGTTACATAACGATGATAAATTGAAATCTTCATTTACATGTACGTATCAGTGTATTTATCCATTTCATAATGAATGATGATACTACAAATGATCAACGTGATCAATTAATGAATATAGTTCATTCCAATGTAAATGTGCATCAATAGGTCAGAACATACATAAAGGAAAAAGTGACATCCTCAAATACAACACACAGAACATCAAAACGATCACACTTGATGAAGAAGCTCTGCAAGTGATGGAAACATTCACGTAACTAGACAGTATCATCGATCAACAAGGAGGAGCGAATGTAGACGTGATTGCGAGGATTGACCAAGCTAGGAATGAATTCCTACAGTTGAAGAACATATGCAACTCAAATCAAAACTGTCAACCAATATCAAAATCACAATCTTCAATACGAATGTTAAGACAGTGTTACTGTACGGAGCTGAAACATGGAGAACTGTTACAGTCATCATCAAAAATGCAGAAGTATTTATAAATAATTGTCTATGCAAAATACTGAACATCTATTAATTGGATACTATGATCAACAGCCTACTGTGGGAGAGAATAAATTAGCTTCCATCTGAAGAGGAAATTTAGGAAAGACGTTGGAAGTGGATAAAACAGACATTGAGGAAATCATCTGATTGCACCACGAGGCAAGCCGTAACTTGGAATCTTGAAGGGGAACTGAAAAGACAAAGGTTAAAGAACACACTATGTCTAGAATTGAAAGGAGATATGAAAAGGATGATTAGCAAGTGGAAAGAACTGGAAAAGATTATTGAGAACAGAGTTGGATAAAAAATGTTGGTGGGTGGCATATGCATATTCATGAGGGGTAACAGCAGTAATCAAGTGAATGTAAACGTTGAACTTAAAAAGATTTTATTTTTCAAAATTAATTTTTATATAGTTTTACATTAATTTCATCGTTAATATTTTAAATGGAATATTACTATCCTACTTATATGATTTAAATAAGTAGTCAATTGAATTAATAATAAATAAATTTATTGAAATTGACCTTTTTAACATGTTTTACATAAGGTAAGTAGATGAAATATTTGTTTGAAAAGTATTATAGTTTATTTGTATCATAAGGGCTTTTTGCGGATATTATAGTAATTTTAATAGTTGAGTTCATGAGTCAATTGAAGCTAGACCACAATGGAAAACCTGGAAGCACTGGACGGCCTTTTCCTCCTATTGTAGGACTCCTCAGCATAGCGCATCCAAAAGTTCGCTCGAGAGACCGATAGGTCCTGGATCTAAATCTCGCGTGGCGGAAACGTGGATGCGCACTTCTGAGGAGTTCCAAAATAAGACGAAACGGTTTTTCATGGTGGTCTAGCTTCAATTGACTCATGATCTGAACTATTTGTTAAATAGAATAAAAATAAACTGATTAAAATCGACAACGTCCAAGAGTTCAGTATAGCTGAATGTTGGTCCGGATTTTAAAGTAAGCAATTAAAATCACATACATTCATAATAAAATACGGGATAATCTAATCAACTTCACTTTTGTATTGTTTGTTTAAATCTTGCTACTGATGTGTTGGGACTGCAGCTGATCATTCTTTCTTATTGGCATATGTGAATCCTGTACGGATCACTTCGATATTGCTTTAATACACGAGCATTATAAAGAAAGATGGATAGTGGTTAGCAGTGGAATTGAGGACTCGCGTTTCATCCTATTTGAGACTCATCAGCTGGACGTACCTGAATGCCAGAATTGATGTTCACTATGTGACTGATCAATTGCAATCCCAAACGTCGGTGAAAAGATTGCACAGACTAGCGGCCATCTGGACTCAGTAGGTAATTGGATAAGGCGATGGCGTTTGAAGCGAAAGATAGTGGGTTCGAGTCCCGTAGTGAATATCAGTTTTTAGAATCTCTTTGAATTTATACCAATGACTTCAGCTACATAGTTTAAGTAATTCCGAGCATTTCGGTAAATTATTGGGAACTTGATATATGGCTGAAAATGCGTCTTCAATTTTTTATATTATGTCATTAGTCAATGAAGTGAGAAAGAATACCACTGTTATTCTTCTGCTCTCCTTGAGTCAGTACTCACTGGCAAATCTTCATAATCTTTAAGCCTATTTATATATATATTTAATAATCAAATGTTACAACGATTCTTTGTTCTTCCGTTCAACGAATTTCTTAACTTTAGGCAAATGAGAAGAATATGAATTGTACTACTTCTACCACCACCATTCATAATAATAATTACCGACCGACTACAATGACATCATTTGTTATGGATGACCAGTTAAAATCAGATTACTGTCTATTCAATGATAGTAATGTCCCAATAGATTTAAGTAGAAACTCCGCATCATCTTTAAATCTTTATGATGAATTTAGTACAAGAAAAAACACGTAAGTAAAAAAGATAATGTGAAAACTTAATTAAATAACAGTATTGACAAGAGGTCACTCCATTTGTAGTTCTTCTAGGGTTACTGTCAGTTCCAAGCCTGGGTAAAGGATAAAGATTGGACATAAAGTATAACAGCAGCTCTCCTGAAGCTAGTCTTTGTTGTCTAACCTGCGTTCAATGTGTTTTACTGTTTTCAAGCACCTCCAGGTTGTATCTTTTCATTTCTGCAGCAATTTGGATGATTCTCCCGTTCTCCTACATTGTACGAGCGTTCCATGTATCGAAATTAACAGTTGCTCTGGTTGTCAAAAAGGATATCAGCCTCATAACTTCCGAAGGAACTTGGATTTCATCATGAAGCGTCATAACTCTTCTAAATGAAGACCTTCTAATTCGCAGGACAGAGTTTAAATGCTTTCAATTATTTTTTCTATTTAACGTTTTTTTAAAGCGAGTTAGTTTTCTAAAAGATGCTGTCACTAACCCTATGCCCAACTCTTCTCCTTTATCCGTGCTTGGGACAGGCAGCAGCCCTAGAAAGGCTCTAGGCGTAAATAACTAAGTAAATCTTTATTGATTAAGATGGCTGAGATATGTATTACATGTTCTCATTACTTTATATTTTGGAACTTGTAATCTGATTACTAATACTCAGTGTTCTAATATGATCAGATCAGCAGTCAAGTCTTTAACACTGATTAATTAGGAGATTAGTAGTATATAGATGAAGAATGATTTCGAAATGACTGAAGAATACTTATTATAACCGAATACTCTACATTTGAAAGCATCTTGTTTGAATCATATTAACAATCAAACTTTTTGTGTATGATTACCAAGATAAATGGGATAAAGTTCTGGCAATAGTTTACCATTTGATTGATCCAATAGGAGATAATCCTTCATTCGAAATGATCTATTAATTTTTTATACAACTACTCTTCTAGTTCCAAATAAGTAGTTATAACGTTTCATATAATCAAACCTGTTTTGATTAGTTTAATGAATATGACGAGTCGATTATTTGGAGATAAATATTTTATAACTTGTGCCCTGTTAATATGTAACGTGATGATACCGCCAATTAGATAACAATGAATTATCGACCGGACCAATGATGCATAAACCCCCCTACGAGTAGTCTAGAGTCTTTACCGGTCCTGCTTCCTGTCTAGCCCTACCTGGTAAGTCCAGAACACTAATCTCAGCCTCTGAGATGTGAATCATTTATTTCAAACATACTGGGTATATATACAAAACCAAACAGACCACATCTAACCAAAAGTGGCTGTGAATATGGGAGATAGTAGTTGATAGACCAGGCATAACTCAAGAATGGTAAATCATATAATTATAGTTCATAGTTCACAATAAAGCTTATGATAAGAGGAACGTGATTATGAATAATTTAGTTACTTAACAACTATGCGATAAAAAATAGATATAGTATTAGTTCATAAATAGGTTCTAACAGTTACCATTCATTATTCTCACCAGGATATAATAAAATATTATCATTGGAAGTAGATAAGGTTTATACAATAACATGAATCGACTGAAGTTAGAAATTTAAACCATCATATGTCAACTCATTGGTCTGAAGGCCAATAGTACGCTAAAAGGCCCCAAAAGTCTAAAGTTCGGCTCCGGATTTAGTCATGGAAAAATTGAATACAAGGGAGAGTCAATTATCCAGTGTCAAATGTTGTTACATTGATATTATAACTTCGATTATTCGTGAAGAATATCACCAACAAATAAGTCTAGCGGTCTAGTGGTTAAGCGATCGCCTGCGTGACTTATAGGTACTGAGTTCGAATCTCGCGAAGCGAGATCGTGGTTGCGCAATGTTGAGGAGTTTCAAAATAGAATGAAACGTCCGTCCAGTGGTTCCAGGTTTTCCATTGTGGTCTAGCTTCAAGTGACTCATGATCTCACCTATCATAAAAACTACTTTGTTTAAAGTAAAAATGACAATTTTTTGAGAGTTTTATCAACAGTTAATACACTACTGAATTACTATTAAACAGACAGTTATTGTTTTTTAAAAATTTTATTTTGATCATTTTAGCTGTTGTGATAAATGCATTGATCCTTGGAAAAGAGATGAACATAAATGTGCAAAGAACGAAAATATTGTAAGTAATTTTCAAGCTATTTAGCTACAGATACTTAACGTTAGGGTTATTGAGTCAACTTGGGAATAATAGAAGAGGATAGAGGCATTAATCAGTTAGAACTTCACAACATCAGTTTACATTCATGATAAAGTTGACAATGATAATTTAGAGAGTTGAATAACTTCACAATAAATGAGTTCCGTTGGCAATGATATGTCTATTTTTCTTTTCTTTACTAATGATTTAGTAAACTTACACGGCTATTGGGAATATTCCATCTATATGGTTGTGTATTTTAGATTCAAACAGCCAGTTCCTTAGTGTTTTATGACAATACCATGTAACATGTAATTTGACTTTGGAAGATGTTAAAAGTAAGTAAGAATTTCTCGTAGACTAAATAAATATAAACATGTCGCTTTCTTGTGTTCATATTAACACATATCAATGTTAACAGTAAGTGAGAAACCATGAATGGGGAACAATAAGCGGTAGTCGATTATGCATCCAATCAAAGTCTCAACTTCAAGTTCCTTGTCTGGGTTATAAAGGATAACGAGTGTGTACACTTATGATTTGTGTACATTTTAATTGGGTTTAGGAATTAGATATTCCTACTAATTTTGATTTCTATGTTTGGACGGTGGGTTTGATAAATTATAAAAAGTGTATATCGTAACCGAATCGAACAAACAGAACATGAATTTAAATTTATGTAAGGCAGTGGTTTAGTGTTGGTAAGTGCTGAATGAATACTTTTTTGATATATATAATGAGTCGATTGAAGCTGTACCACCATGGAAAACCTGGAAGCACTTTACGACCGTGTAGTTCTAGAAATTAACACCGTTGGATGCCGGCTCACTTGTCTAATAGTTAAGCGCTCGCGTGCAAGACTAGTAGGTCCTGTGTTTGAGTCTCACAGAGGGAGGCGGGATCGTGGATGCGCACTGCCATGGAGGAGTCCAACAGCAGGACGAAACGGCCGTCCAGTGCTTTCGGGTTTTTCATGGTGGTCTAGCTTCAACTGACTCATGATTTCAACTACTGAAATTACTATAATATCAATAAAACCTCTTCTGATATATATATATATATAAGCAATATTACAGCATATTACTGTTTGTATTTTCAGTGGCGAAAAAACTAGGTATCACTACGCCACTATTAAACTGTTTATCCCATTATACTGTTATTGTATTTTCAGTAGGGATAATTCAACTTTTATGAAACTTCAATTGATTAATCACAGAGTAGTGATTAATATCATGTTTACATAACATCTTTAGCGCTGAATAATCTCTACTGATTAAGTTGCCGTATGATTATTAGCCTCAATTCTACAGGAGACCAACAGTGACTCAAAGCAGTCAGTATTATCGTATAAAAGTGGGGAGCTAAATGACCTAGACTTGAATTCCATACATTATTAGTTGCCTCAAGAAAACAAGTACTCTTTCTTATTGAGTGCTAACTAGAAGGGTTTTATGCCTAACAGCTCCGGTTATCATTCAAACGAAGTTATAAACCAAAACTCAGGTGATTAGTTAAACCTTGATTAGTAACTAACTACGACAGTTTGATATGAAGATAGACAGCAGACTTATAATTCATTGAGAAGTATTTTCTGAACATTAAAATAGTTAACAACAATTAATGAATGGAAAAGTAGTTGCCAATTAGACCTGTGTAACTAAGTACTTTTAATCTCGTTCTAGTATTCAGTTTCAATTAAAAATTGATCTTGTTGTTTTACTTTTGTTTCTGCGAAAACACTTTAGATCATGAATAAATATTCTGTAAATAACACTCTGAAGGACAAATTTAATCAATTTATGAATACTACTGATAATTCCGTTATTAGTAGTAAAAAACAATCATTATCATTTTGTCAAAATTCACAATCAGTCAGTTCAGAATTATGTCAAACTTATAAGAATTATGACGAGGAACATCGAAATATATTAACACACTCAAAAATATCTAATAATAATGGTAATAATAGTACTAATGATCACAAATGCAGATTTATGATAAAAGATATACTCGAATTTCAGGATCATCCATCATCTGCTAAAGACGACGACGATAGTACGAACAATAGATCAAAGATTCGGTCTGAAGAGTCAGTGCACGATTCAAAACCAGTTAAAGAATTTCCTCATCCTAAAATAATATTTTGCAATGAAAATAACAAGTCTGTTAAAAAAATCAGAAATAAACGATCTTCTTTTTGTTTAAAAACACCAACTACTGAAACATTTGAAAGTAGCATATGTTTATCATCTAAAAATATGAGTTTCATCCCACATCTTGCAAATAATGTTAATAATAATTATAATTATAATTATAATACAGTTAATCAGATAGAAAAAAATCAATCATATATGGGGGACGAACAAGAAAATAGAAATGAAGATTCTGACACTGCAAAGATCAGTTCACAAAACACTCCAAAATGTTATTCTCGTCAATATCGCGTTGATTATCAACGATTTGTACAAGATAAAAAACGACAAAATTGTTCAACATGTAATTTGAGTTTTTGTCAACCAGTAGATTTTGTTCTACATATTCAAAAAGTGAGTATACATCTTGTTGAAAGCAACATAATAATTATTATTATTGATAATAATGGGTAGTTTACAAATCACAACTGATTAGTTACTGAGGAGTAATAAACATTTGGTTAGCCTTTCAGTAGTAAACCGATATTGGTTATGTCTCATTGACCAATAGGTGTAAATATTTCAATTCCACAGGAAGTTTTTTTGCAACTCAGTGGTAACATCTTGAACTGTCAAGTTTGGCGATAAATGTTCGTAACCCACAGAGAGCGTCAATTCGCTTATGATTGCTGACGAGTGTCAACTAACTCAAAACTTATGTTGAGGAAGGTTTTCTGTTAACTATCTTTATTCATCCAACACACTTCACAAAACGTTAAAACTGAATTTTAACGCTTTGCAGAAAAGGGTATACGTTACAATCAGTCGCATTGTAAAACTTGGCACATGCGTTTGAAATCGGTTCAAGTTGTAATAACTTACTCGCACAGAGATATAAAACTGTCAAGGTCAGTCCCAGTGTAGTAGATGTGGTAATCATATTGGTGAGAATAGAGAAGATCAGGGATTCAGTAAACATTTTAGAAAAACATAAATCCGTGAAATAAAACATTTGTGCGGAATTAGGAAACTTAGGTTCTAAGAGGAGACAAAAAGTGTACGCAGCTGCTCAAAGCAAACTATTTTAAGTCACGTTATTCAAAGTTTAGAACTAATGATGACAACAATCACATGAATTCCAACCAGTTCAACTGTCAATGACTTTATGGACTGGCAACATATTTTGGTTTAATTACCATTAGCTTTCTTCTAACCTGATCCTGCACCAGACGTCATCCGTAGAAGTAAGCGAAGGTTGAGCATACGTTACGGATGTCCCAACCACTTCAGTAGATGGAGTTTTGTTACCTCATCATTCGATTCACCATCCTTACTTAGTACCCTATTTCCAATCCAAAAATACACGAACAATGCTTTGAAGTACAAATGAACTCTATTCCTAATGGTAGTAAACTTGTCCTTCGGTTGACAGACGGATATTTTGCCTACATCGCAAGTGAACTCAGTAATAACACAGGTCTCCGAACTGAAACCATTATGGTTTCTGTATAAAAAGTAAAATGAAAACCACAGCGGATACAGTTAACAAAGAATTTAAACTCAGATTTTACATGGTAGTAGAAAGATGCTATAGCTAACTAAACCAATGAACACATACTGACCTAGTTAAAAGGAATATTACAAATGGATCAATGTTAGACCGCCGTTTGAAACATGGGAGCAGTGGACGTCCATCTCGTCCTAGCATGGGGCTCTTCAGCAATGCACATTCGCGATCCTACACGCGTGATTCAAACCCAGGACCTTCAGTCTCACGCCCGAACGTTTAAACTTTACACCGCTAAGCCGGCATCCAACGGCGTTAACGTCTAACCTCAACCAATCCGTGATATTACTCAACCGTCCACCATTGTTTCCAGTGAGTAACAGCCTCACAACAAACACGGTTGAACTCAACTGGTCACGGCTTCTTACTAGAACTCCAGGAAATCTATCGTGAAGGTAGCCATTAGTGAGAACATGATGTCGATCTAAAATCAAAAATCACCACAACCCTATACTGATAAATATTACGAATCATACTATTTCAATGTTCAATAAAGCAATGACAAAGATATCATCAGTATAACACAAATCACTTTTTAGCTGATTGTAGCTTGTCATCAGGAAATCCTATTTGACCTGACTATTCATCGATAAGGAGTAACAGTAAACTCAAGGGAACTAACAAAAATTACCTCCAACCACTCAATATCAAAAGAAAAATATCATAAGGGATTTTGTGGATATTATAGTAATCTCGGTGGTTGAGATCATGAGTAAATTGAAGCTAGACCACCATGGAAAACCTGGAAGCACTGGACGGACGTTTCGTCCTAGTGTGGGACTCCTCAGCAGTGCGCATCCACGATCCCATTTCGCCAGATTCGAACCCAGGGCCTATCAGTCTTGCACGCGAGCGCTCAACTATTAGACAAGTGAGGTGGTATCCAATGGTGTTAATGTCTTACTTCAACTAATCCATGAAACTGAGCGACACATCCACCATTTTCATCAGTGAGTTACTATCTCATAACAGACCTGGTTGAACTCCACTGGTCACTGTTTCTCACTAGAACTCCAAGAAACAACCTCTTAGAGACTGTCACTAGTGAGCATATGTTGATGAATAACCGAAGGGGTTTTTTGTAGATATTATAGTAATTTTTTAATAGTTGAAGTTAGACCACTACTGAGGAGTCCTGTAATAAGACGATATAGGTGTCTAGTTATTCCAGATTTTCCATAATGGTCTAGCTTCAATTAACTCATAATCTCAACTATTAAAATCAAAAGAAAAACATAATTCATGAAATATTGAGTCCATTAGATTAGTGACTATATTTCAGTTTAATCGATAAAATTAAATCAACACTAATGAAATAAGAAACAAACAAACATTAGTTACTACCTAGTAACTAATCAATTATGCATTAAAAAATAGTTGCTAATCAATATTCAAAAAAAAACTTTTATCAAAGAAGAAATATATTAATTTATAACAGATTAATCCATTATTGATTTAAACAAGAAAAAATATAAAATAGTTGTGAAAGGAATTTATTACTACTTAAATTTAAAAAAAGGTAGATCAATCATCAAATTTATCTTATCAAAAAGAGACCTCTAAAGAGACCTATTTAAAATATTTAGATATATTCTATAGATTGACCGTTTTGTTCTTTGCTCAACTTTAATGGTTATAATTATGTTTAGTGTAGGTTATGATAATTCTTAATGATGAACAATTAAGATGTTCTTCTAAATGAAGAATTGGATCTAAGTGAACTGAATACATTAGACGATTTAACATACAACATATACCGAATATATATGCGACACACAAGTTGCTTGATTTGTGTGTGAGCTGTCATATTGTCCGGGTGCATAGACAGAAAAAGGCCAAACGTGGAACCTTCGACTTAAAGGTATGGTCCACAAGACTGTGGAGCAACGTCAAAAGATGAAGTACTATGGTAGCCGATAACCAACAATTGGTTCATGCACCATTTGTTCTCTCAAAATACTGGAGCCCATGTGCACCATTGGTTTGGAATTGGGGGTTTTCAACTCCCCTAGGTGGACTCTTCATGTCCACCAACCCGGTTAAAGCGCCAAAGTTTCGCTTCTTGTCCTTTCAATTTCGTAAACAACACCCTCGCCATGAGGAGGCAGTGAGTAGGACTTTCCTGGCAGAGGCTATATACGTGTGGCCATGAGAGTATTTTGAGAGGGTTCTTTTCCCACTCTCGGCCGTTCCGGGGCATTCGGGGACATGAATTGTATAGATATATTAATATAGATATGATAATATTGCGATAATATCTATACCATTCATAGATATTGTCGCAATATTATTACTCATGAGAACTACTATCTGTCAAGAAAACAACTTGAAGAACTAATGTTTTGATAATGATCGACCTCTCATTGCGACGGCCAGACTGGAATAACTATGTATCACATGTCAAAGTACTATGAAAAAAGCCAACTTCCGTCATAACACTATTTTTTCTAACAATTCATCTTCCTATTCTATTTATAACAATCAGATTTAGTAGTATAATAGGACTATTATTATTAAGTGGTTATTTGTCGTACATATATTTCCACAGTATAAACCGCCAGCTAATCTCAGCTAGACCACCAGTGAAAACCTGAAACATTGGAAGACTGTTTCGTCCTAGTGTGGGACTCCTCGGCAATGAGCATCCACGATCCCGATTTGAGGAATCGAATCTAAGACAATCGATCTCGCACGTGCGCTCTTAACCTTCACATAACTGAGGAGGTATCCAATAGTGTACATGTTTACCTTCAAACAATTCACGATATTCAACAGCTACCATCCATTGCCTATGTTATACGATTGTCTCATATCTAATCAAACATTGTAAGTTCAATTCCCGAATGCTGGGTTGTGGATGTACACTGCTGAGAAATCGCATAAACAGATGAGTCTGTCGTCCAGTTCTTTCACAATTTTAATAGGGTTCTAAGATCACTTTATGATTCAAACTATGAAAATTTTACAATCTCCACAAATTATCTTATTCTAATACTATGCTTATCCTTGTTTGCCAGGTTCATCTTGGATTAAAATTGGCAAACAATGAAAATAATTTAACAAAACCTTTAAAAGAATCACTACAATCAAACAAAAATCACACATGTAAATCTCAGAAAATACATAGAAATGTTGACGATACTGGTGATATCCATATTGTTACTAATAGTAACGATAATGATCATGAAATGGATCAAATGAGAAATAATGAAGATGGTAATAATCATCCTTTATCATTGAAATCAACAATCGATCGTAATACAAGAAAAAGATCTTATAAATCCATAAAAACCATGAGGAAATATTGATGCAAGTACGATCATACCTAATTAATCTTTTTTGCATTAACATAGTGAAGTTTGACTGATATGTGTGCACAAAGTGTTCTTTTTTGTCATCAGATTAGTGTAAATATACATGTTTTCATAATATTATCTGACAGGTATCTACCTCAGTACAGTGGAAGACGGTCGTGCAATCTTGTGGATTAGTTGAGGTTAGACATTAACACCATTGGATGCCGGCTCAGTGGTCTAGTAGGTTAGGCGTTTGCGAGCGAGATTTATAGGTCCTTGGTCCGAATCTCGCGAAGCAAGATCGTGGATGCTCACTGTTGACGAGTCCCGCAATAGGATGAAATGGCCGTTCAGTGCTTCCAGGTTTTCTATGGCGGTCAGTTCATGAACTCAATCAATAACTTAATAATCTCCACAATCCTATATTGATTATCTGGAAGTGTTTGAGTTAATCAGTTGATGATATAAGAAACTGGAATTTAATCAATTTTTGTTAAGATTATCTGAATATAGCCACTTTGCTATATTATCTGAAACAGAAAGATTCCAATTAGTAGTAGAATCCAAGATTGGGATTTTGTCTTATTTAGGAATCATCATTTAGATGTCCGAAACGGGGACAGTCCGTACAGGATGTATATATGTTAATAAAGATCAATCAAATTTTTAGTGCTGAATATCAACAATGAGACAATTTAAATCATTACTAACATTGACTTGAAAATCATACTGCTTTAACCGGTGGATAGCTTTCTAGATTCAGTAGCTCAGTGAATAACGAAGTAAATATTTAAAGCAAAGAATACTGGGTTCGATCCCTAACGTAGACGTAGACAATCGGACGAAATATGCGTCTTGGTTTCCACTCCCATCCACAGTTATTCTATTCTAAAAAATTCATAATTTTCTCGTTTCCTATAGTAGTAGTATGTAGATTTTAACAGAAATGTTCATCAGTTTTTTACATCTGTCAATTAACAGTATTAATAGGGTTGAATAGAATCCATTAAAGAGTAAAATTATTATAATTTACAGAATAATTTAATCAACTATGTTGTAATTAAACACAAATCAATAGTATTTTAAAATAACCTCTAGACCACTCAGCCGGAATTCATCGGTGTTAATGTTTAACTTCAATCCATCTATTTATCAGGTAGAGATATGTATCTACCGGAGACAATGGAAGATGGTCGCGCAATTTCGTGGATTGATTGAAGTTAAACATCAACACCATTAGATGCCATCTCAGTGGTCTACAAGTTAGGCGTTCGCGAGAAGGATCGCGAATGCGCACTGCTGAAAAGTTTCGTACTAGGACGAAACGGCCATCCTATGCTTCCAGGTTTTCAATGATGGTCTAACATCAATGGATTCACGATCTCAATAAAACATCTTAACAATCTCCACAACGCCATATTGATGATAATAATAACTTTAATTTCATTATGAATAGGAAAATCAATGAACACACGAATAAACCATAATGCTTCATATATCTGAGAAACATTTGATACTAAATTTAGTCTGTTAACACAATTAGATGTAAATTGAACAAATGATTCACTTTCACAGCATTTATGCTACAGTATAATTTTAGATTACCGATTTCAACTTGTTACGAGGTATAAAAAGCTTGGATTCCATTTTCTACAAGGGTAGTGAGTATGCAATGATAGGTAGTTCCCTGGTCGGCATCAGATTGTGTTGTGAAACTGATTTTTATTAGGACAATCTTACTTCTGATGGAATTCAATATTTGTGAGAAATGTTAGGTTGTCATCGGTAGTCAACAAAAAATATTGTCAGTTTAGGGGTTGTGGAGATTGTTAAGTTTTTGATTGAGATCATGAACCGATTGATGTGATGACCATCATTGAAAACCTGGGAGCACTGGACGGCAGTTTCTTCCTACTCTTAAACCAGTGGAGCTAATCCGTGTCGGGTAGAAACAGGTGTCTACCTCAGTACAATGGAAGATGGTCGCGCAACCTCATAGATTGGTTGAGGTTAGACATTAACAGCACTGGATACCGGCTCAGTGGTCCAGTAGGTTAAGCGTCCGCGCACGAGATTGAAGGCCCTGGGTTCGAATCCCGCGGGCGGGATCGTGGATGCGCACTGCTGACGAGTCCCGCAATAGGATGAAACGGCCGTCCAGTGCTTCCAGGTTTTCAATGGTAGTCTAAAATCAATCGGTTCATGATCTCAACGAAAATATTGTTTTATCTAGGTTTCACGCTAATCAGCATTCATATAAAAAAATACATCTGTAATCTTAAGGCAACTGATGGGTCTCATGGGATTTTAAACATATGTAATCCGTATTCACAGTCCTATATATTACCACTAAGCTGTTTTGGTGCCAAATGAATCCTTATAATACCGAGATAATTATATTGATATTGAATAATGACCAATGCCATTTTGATCTAGTCCTTTGGTGGTGATCAAATTCTATCGGTCACAGAATTGAGAACAAGCATGGCACTAACCGTTAACTACTTAGCAATCAATCAACGTAACTTGTACAAAATATAACCTTGATTTGAGCATACATATATTCATGTGACAAACAGATAATTAGAACGTGTGTTTTATAGGCTAGAAATGTATTCATTTCAGTTATTAAATGGTTTTCAATAAGATAACTAAATGACGGATCTAGGCCTTTCAGTATTGTATTTAAAAGGATAAAGGTAAACATCAGGACTTGATTACAGTTAATACTGGTTGCAAGAACAGTAGTTGTTTGATTATAGTATCCTAGTGTTCCAACGGAACTATTCGGATGTGAAGTACTAATTCATGGCACATACATTTAAAAATTCTTTTAAAACCAGACTTCCACGTACATTGTCTTATCATGTTTTATCGTCCATGTTGTCCCCTATGTAAGTAATTTTTGGTTTGTCGGCAAAAAGAAATCATACGAAGAGAATAAGATGAATATACTCTAAACTTCGATTTAAGGTCTCAAGTACATGTATTTAGTAGACAGACTACACAAATTACAACCTTGATAAATCGGTTTGGGACTAGTCCATTGGATATACCTATATTCCAATGTTGATTTTTTACGTTGAGACTCGGACCCAGCACCTTTTGTTTTAAATGTCCAACGCATGTTCCATTAGGCTACTGAGTTTAAATAGCCAATAGGCATGATGTTGTTTTTCTTATCAGTAAGAGCTTGAATTATCACATTATTGATAACACGAACTGAATTTCGATCAGTTTTTGTTGCCAAATATCGGGATTGCCTTGATTTGTCCATTTTATTAGTTTTATAGGATAGGCGGATTAGTCATTTGAATAAAGACTGATTACTTAGGTCACATTGATTCAATACGGTAAGCGTTTACAAACGATGAGAGAGACTAGCAACCCTAAGAATTCAGTTCAAATACTTAATGGAGAGATCATATATACCAAACAAATGACAGTGAAATCGTTTTTCTGAGTTGGTCAGAATAAACATTTAATTGTCTGATTAAAATATGCTTAATCCAACCTTTTAATACTTCACTCCTGTATAAATTTATTAAGTTAACAATGTACAACACTGATTTTTCAATGTGTTAGAAACTAATATCAAGCTCTTCAGACAAAAGCAAATGATGATGATGATGTCGGGTTGTTATAATTCTCTCTTATTACAACCCAGTTATTCCTATTGCTTAGTATTGTTGGACACCTATTCACTCGACAAGTTCCAAATCAGAACACGGTGGAACGAGAACGAAATAATATTCCAAATAACAAGGGTAGATGGAAGTAAGAAACACAATAAGAAAAACGATAGTATATTTATAGTTTCTACATGAGAAGATCCTAGAGTCTTCTCTAAGTATCAAATAGTGCTGATTGGTTAAGAATTAGCCAATCAGCGTGCACCAACACAATCGATAACTCTACTTACAATAATCTACGACCTCGTGGGTCTCGTTTGCCCCACATGTATGGATTACCAAAAATACATAAACAAGGTTATCCTCTTAGACCTATCTTGTCAATGATCAATTCACCATACCACAAAGTTGCACGATGGTTAGCAGATAAGTTAGAACCAGTGCGTCAACGATTAGCCACCTATACGCTAAAGGATTCATTTGTATTTGCTGACAGCATGAATCACATAAATATTGCTGATAAGTTTATGGTTTCTTTTGATGTAACATCTTTGTTTACAAAAATACCACTTCTTGAGACCATAGACATAATTTGTCAACATTCTGACATCCTACCTCTACCAGTACCAGAATTCAAACGACTATTACTCATTTGTACAAAAGATGTTCAATTCCAGTTCAACGATATCATATACAAACAAACCGATGGTGTAGCGATGGGAAGTCCGTTAGGTCCTGTCCTAGCAGATATTTTCATGGCTAACCTCGAAAGAACCAAACTCAAACGAGCGATTGATGAAATGACGTATTATTCGAGGTATGTTGATGATACCTTCATCGTATGTAATAATAAACAACAAGCAATAAATCTGCTAGAGTTTTTCAACGAAGCACATCCGAATATCCATTTCACTATGGAACATGAAAAAGAAAACAAGTTCCATTTTCTCGATATCGCGATGAAAAGAAGAAAAGATGGTACAGTTCAACGTTCAGTTTATAAGAAAGACACATGGAATGATAGTTATCTTAATTTCAATAGCTTTTGTCCAATCAGTTACAAAAAGGCACTGGTCAAAACACTGTTTTACAGAACAGAAAGAATATGTACTTCCGATACACTAGAAGAGGAAGTTATGAATGTTAAAAAATGTTTAAAGAATAACGGATACCCACTGAAATTTATTGAGAAATACGGCAAATGTGAAGATAAAAAACTGAAAGAAATTACAGCAAATAAAAAGCCTATTTTTATTAAACTTCAATTCAAAGGTGACGATGTCACAGGATCAATCAATATGAGACTAAAAACTGCACTGACAAGAACCTATCCTGCAGCGAAATTGATTGTCCTGTCCAAAACAACATGTTCTTTGACACAATCAAAGGTCGACAGGTATCCCTTTCATGTTACCACCAACTGTGTATACAAATTTACATGTACCTGCCAAAGCAGTTACATTGGTAGAACAGAAAGGAGAGCCTACGTCCGATTCAAAGAACATATTCCGAAAAGTTTAAGATTGAATGGATTGAACTCATTCAACAGTGCTATCGCAAGACATCTCCTTGATACAGGACATAAAGCTGATATACTGAAGTCCTTCAAGGTGATTAACAAACAATCAAACTCGAACCTTTTGAAATTCGCTGAAGCGTTAGCAATCAAACGTTTAAAACCAGATCTATGTATACAAAAAGAGACGGTAATAAATCTTTCTTTACCCTGGTAACAATAACCCTCACTCTTTCTGTTAATTTGCTCCTATTTATTTATTTATTACGTCATTAGTGCAACTCTTTCTGAAATATAAATTACATCATACATAACTGATTGATTTCAATTCATATTTTCTTTATTACCATTAATCTATTTTCATGAGTTCTAATCACTATTTCAATCTTCTGGAACTTTCCCTCTCAAACTTTATTTATTTATTCGAATCAAACATTTTATGAGCTCATTAACTCTATCTGAATCTTTGCTTGCTACATCATCATACATATGTATTGATCCTTAATCACACTCTTATGTATAAATATGTCAATATCTGTAATAATGTTGAATTTTCAAATAATTTAGGTTGTAAGCAGCTGATGAGAACCTAACGAAATAAAATGAATTCATATTATTCTGCACCAATCTTTGTTCTTGCTCTATTTAAGAAAATACTTTGATTTAATCTATGTCCCACTAACACAGGTTTATACCTATAATCTAAACATGGTAAACAAAGTGCATGTTGTGACGTGTGGTATCAGAAATCTGATACTGATATACTGTGTGCTACACGTTAACGCCCCTTCCTCCAAACTGACTACTTGAATGACTTTCTCCATATAAGTGTATTGTTTTCAAACTATTGAGAAACATCTTCATCAAGACGAGTTCAGTAATAACTTTAGTATAAAATTGAGAGAACATTTTTTCAAATCCAAAGAAAATAATTTTTATTTGTATGTAGTTGAAAATGATACAAAATGTGAAATAAACACAAGCATAAAATAACTTCTAATTGTATTCATTATTTATTCTTCTATTCATTGTTAACATTTAACGTACAGTTGAACCAGGTGGAACATCATCTGATACAATAATCCATTTATTACCACATATTGAACCTAATCTCCAATCACGCCATTGAATATATTGATTAATAGATGTTGATAAATCTGGACATAATTGTTCCCATAATTTTGTTTTAGATGATAATAATTTATCTGGTTCTCTAAATGATAATGATAATGATGATTTAGAATTATCAACTAATGAATGAAAGACAAAACGTTCACCTAATATAGGATTTTGTTTATTTGATAAATGAATTGGTTGTACTTTTAAAAGTGATGAACTCTTCTCAGTATATGAAGCACAAAGTAACATAGCCTAGGAAAATAACATTTGAAAAAGAATATATTAGAAACAGTAGAGATGATAATGATTAACATAATAGGATGACGAAGAGTGTAAATGATCTAGTGATTAGGCGATCGCGCGCGGGACTGATAGGTTCAGAGTTCGAATCCCGCGGGAGGCAGGATCTTGGATGCGCACTGCTGAGTCCCACAATAGGATGGAACGGCTGTCCAGTGATTCCATGGTGGTCTAGCTTCAATTTACTCATGATCTCAACCATTGAGATTACTATAATATCCACAAAAACCTTTCTGATATGAAATAATTATGCCTCCATTACTCTCGTTTTGTGTCAGTTATTGTGACATTTTAATTTATTGCATGTGTTACTATGTGATCAAATGTCTTAAGCATATTACTATATTATGGTGTGTTACGTATACCGAGAGATATAAGTAGTATATGTCAGGGACTGGAAGTAGGATTCTTACTGACAGAGGAGAGAAACAAAAGCAGTCAGAGATTAGTAACAAGAATGGAAAAACAACGGAGTTTGTACGAGACAATTCAAGGAAGATGTTCAGATAGTGTATTCAATGTATTGTTCTCATATTTTACAAATGCAGTGTGTGACATTACATAATAGAATAGACTAAAATTCCTTAGCTCATTAAAACATGAGTCCTAAATTATGACTAAATTGAGTACAACAGAAAATCGATCTGATTTCCATCTTTATCTTCTAATTGGCTACTAGGTTAGAAGGAGCTCAAGGACCCATATGCGCCACCATCTTGCTTTTTGTTTATTAACTGAAGTGTCGATTGGTAAACATGCCACTGGTACTACTGACAATCTAGGTGGACTTATCGATAATCATATTAGACAGAGAGAGAGAGAGCATACAACTGCTTGCTTGTCATCACGGCCAGACTGCAAAAAACTCATCCAACTAAAAAACAATCTATTGTTGTCGTCCAACATAGATATACATTGACAACGATTAGACTAGATGAGTAATTACTAGATTTGAAAGTGCTAAATTCAATAGTGGATACCCAAAACAAATGAGTACCATATTAAAACGAAACAGTTACTCCGTGTTTTTTTGACTCATTTTTCATAATGGTTGTTTGGATCTATCCGTTGATGTTTGGGGACTGCAATTGATCGGTCTCTTTTTGGTAAATGTGCATCCAGAGCGGACTGCCTCGACATTGTTTCAAGTTACAAGCATTCTGTAAGCAGAGATGATGGTGGCTCGCAGGCGAATTTAGGACGCTGACTTCACCTTATTAAGGAATCGTTAGCATTATTTACGACTTCTAAATAGGACGAAACATGTATCCTGGATTCCATCATTCATCTCTACTTACTATCGAGTGTTCACGATTTTTTGTTTGTTTTCCAATCGTTGTCTGACTAAGGTCAGTTTATGATACAAACAATAAACAACTTTTTTAAAAGGTACATTCTGTTTAACAATCAACAAATAGAACAAACAGCAAGTTTTAATGTGCTTAAGTAGCGTTTTTCTTTTAATTCACCTCAATGGTTGATAAAAGTGTAGTTATGTAGGCCTCGAAATCTATTCCTACCATCATTTTGTATGTATATATGTCGAAAAAAGAGTAAACAAAACTCATCAAGAACGACATGATACTTATTATTATTATTACTACTTACCTGAGATTCAATTCCACGAATTTTCACTGGTTTTAAATTAATCACAAATACACCATAACAATTGAGTAATTTTTCCATAGGATAAAGACCAACTAATCCACTAATCACTGTACGTTTACCAATACTTGAACCGAAATCCACTTCTTCAATAAATAAACTATCAGCATTTGGATGCTTTAAAAGAACAATGCCATATCACCCACGCCACCCCACAAATGAGAAAGATAAACAATTACACATAGAATGATTTCTTTTACATAATATAAATAAGTGTAACTGACAAAGTAAATAAATCCAGTCCGGATTACCAGATACCTAGAGTGGATATTATAAACCCTTTCCCTTCCAATTCCTGGTGTGTTTATATCTTACTTAATATATACATTCATCTTTCCTAATTCTCGTATGAATTATTGTCACCTTCATTAACCAGGCGAAATTCTCCTACTATGCATCTTATTCATACGATTTTTTATTATATTACAATTACATTTGCTGGTTGGCGGTTTATGCTTCTTTACGAGGGCTAACAAGCATAAGTAAGTACTATTATATTGATAATAACTTGACACTTTACTACAAATCACTCTGACGTTTATTAAATGACCTTTTGAATTTACAAATAACACTATCTTGAGGTACTTATATCGTAACAGATGATAACGTTCATCATTTTTAACATATAACATTGTTAAACTGATTCACGCACGCCTTTACGTTAGTCTTAGTAAAATATCACAATAACTATGGACTTATAACTGTAGATCTTGATGATGAAGTTATTGTGAAAACAATCGCTTACTCAAATATTCTTTGTTTTTGAAATAAATAAATGCTCAAAGTAAAAAAAATATAGAGAGAGGTGATCTAATAGGAATTGAGAGAGGAACCAACTTTTGGGAGAATTTTTTCGAAATCAATAACTTTTTGGCATGATTATAATTTACGAACCAAGATTTATTCATCCACATGGTTGAATAGCATCTGAGCATTATAGCTGATGTCATTTGGTGATGAAAAGTTCTACTTCAATTCCTAACCCTAACGTGTAATCTGAATACTACTTCCTCACACTAATTTATAACTTTCTTTAAACATTAATGAGTAGATGAATTTTCATCAATATGGGGATTTGTGGAAACTGTAGTCATTTTAACAGTTGAATTCATGAGTCAACTTTGGCTAGACCACCAGTGAAAACCTAGACATTTTGAACTCCCGTTTCGTCTTGGCATGGTACTCCTCAGCACCGCGCATCCACTATAGCGTACGCGGGAACAGAACCCAGGACCTTTGGTCTCGCGTGAGGGATCGTGGATGCACAGTGCCAAGGAGTGCCCATACTAGGGCGAAACAGCTGTCCAATGCTTTCAGGTGAATCACTTTAGCATCGTCCAATGATCGTTCGAGAAATTAACCAATAGCGAACAATATTTAGTGATCATTTGTTTTCTAAATTAAATTTCACGTGTGAAAGTTATTGCCTCGTAGCAATTATGATATTGAGTAATTTCACACTCTATACATTACAAATTTATTACAACTAAGAAAATGGACAAACGATGATTATAGTATTACTGACCATCGTCGCGATATCGGAAGGTTGTAGTAAGATGGTACCTATAGCTAGGACAAAATAGATGTCTTGTGCTTCTTGCTTCATAGACTTATGTCACATTTTCGTTAGGTATATGTGATACGTATCATTAACCACTTTATTTGATAGAGATTCACAATCTTATCGACTGACTTACTATTTTGCCTAATAAACTGCACTTAGCTTTAGCACTATTCAACATAATAGTCCCAATTTAAGCAAGAAATCAGTTCGAAACCAATCTATGTCAGTCAGTCAGCTACTACGTAGGACCAGGCACAATATATGCATCGGTCCAAGTTGTCATACCTCATTAACACAACAACATGAACACCGTATTCATAAAGTAGTTAATTCAGTTGAGGTAATATGTAAAAGAAAGATTGCAATAAGGATATAGTACATGAAGAAGGAATTAGTTCGTAGTTCTTAGTTTAAGGGAAGACAGAGAGTGTATACACCTACACCATTGTGATCGATCCTGAGCCATGTCACACAAAGTCTCTAAGCATTGGTTACGATAGTCATGCGGACCCCAACCAAGTAGTCTGCATCTACCAACATGGCTCAGACTAGAAGTTAGTAACTTCAAGCACTGATGCCACGTTTTGGTTTGGCCGCCCCTAATTTTCTTCCAACCATCTCTAACACCGGTTAGCATTGCACGTCGTGGTAAACGGTGTTCAGGCATACGTAACACGTGGCCCAACCATCTCAGTCGATGAAGATTCATAACCTCATCAATTGATTTACCATCACTCTCTAATACCCTGCGTCTTACCTCACTATTACTTACCCGGTGATCCAAGCAGACGCCAATCTATGAATAAATTAAATGTCGATTAACAAATAAGAACAGCTAAGTTCACAAAATAGTTAAGCATACATATTCACATTTAAACAACCGTAATAAAATGAAATGATCCGAAGAGAGAAAGCTACCTATAATTATATTACTCACTATTTTAACTGATAAGATTAAACCAACTCGGATGTCCAAACGATTTGGATTGAGTTCATCAGTTGAATTCACTGGTAATGATGTTGATGACAATTTACTGCCGCTTAATTTTGGGGCAACTGGAAAAAAAGAGATATAAAGCAGTAGATAACAAGACGAATAATAATCATAATGAGATCAATCACTATATTCAATCACCTAGAGTTAATTTTAATAAATAAGTCTTAGTAAAAATAGGCAATAATATATTGTAATAAATTACCATTTTGAGATTCATGCGGCTAACTGCCTTGCTCCTAGGATATACTTTCTTTAGAACATAACATATACATTAGACCTGGTATATTTTTATTCTAATATACAATTTCCTGTTATTTTTCCAAAGAGCATAACGTGATATAGAAAATATACTAATCACCATGATGATTCAACGTCTCAATTTAGCAATAATTGTAACTAACCGGTGTCACGTGTTTGTCTAGCTTTTTGTGTTGATCGAATGCTATCGATCAAGTTACGATATAGCCCGCAACATAGCCCGGATAAGATCATGCATGAGTTTTACCACCAGTTAAACTTCCTTCTTATAAAAGTGCGTGGAACAGATATCGTGGTACTAGACGAAAACTTGAATGATCAGGTCGAGCGTCTAGGCATAGAAGAGAGTCGTTCAGGTGGTCGATGGAGACTTGTTGATCGCATGTCAGATAACGGTGTCCGTCAACTAAATTTGTGAGCAAACCACAATCTGTTTCTGGCTAGCACTAACTACCAGCACAGTCATCACTAGCACTGAATTTGTGTGTGAGCTGGGATATTTTCCAGCTGCCCAAACCGAAGTAAGCGGTTTTACTAGGGGGCCACGACCCGAGCGTTTGACCTAAAGGACTAATCCACAAGGCGATGAATCAAAGTTAAAGAATGCAGTCTCATGGTAGTCAATGATCGACAATAGGTTCATACGCCACTTATTCCATCAGGATCCTGGAACACATATGTACCATTGGCTTGAAATCAGGGTTTTCTAATTCCCCTGGGTGGTTTCTCCGAATCCACTCATCCGTTTTGGACGCCAGACATTTGCATTTTGTCCTCTCGATTTTGTAATCAACATCCCTACGGCTAAAAGGCAGTGAGTAGAAAGAGATTAGATATAATTTTCACATACTATAATCTATTATGTTGTTGGCTAATTGATTTAATAGATACAGATTCGTGTACTTGCTATTGAGCTACACTCTATGTGTGTGATATTATCAACCGATGTTGGTTAAATTAAAGTGGAAAGTGCAATGTCAAATTTGAGATTAAGTGGCTAAAATCGAATAGATTATCCATTGAGTCATTGTTCCATGTACAAATATACAATCTACTTGATTTAGATCAAAAAACAAAAACAAAAAGAAGATTGAATTATTACGCTATCATTTCATTAAGTTACTATAATTTAAAAACCAACTTTGAAGATCAGTATAGTTATATTCAACTTTAAACTGAAATAAGTAAACGTTTAGTGAATGAAGACTTGGTAAGGAAGACTAATTTATTCATTGAATACAAATTTACAGAGTGTTTTGACAAAAATATGAAAGCTATACATTGAATACATTATTTATTTATTCATTTTAACACATAGATATTGGTACAAAGAGGCATCAAATACATATGCGCCACACAGATCTGATTTAATATGTGTGAGGGCTGTGATACTGCCCGGGTGTCCAAACCGAGGCAGGAATACATTATTTAAACATCTTCCATCAGTTGTCTTTTACATACTTTATGATTCTTTCAATTCGTTTATTTTTCCAATTCTTTTCTATTCTCTTCAATTTAATCTTCTCAATCTCCGGCTAGTGAGCATTCCATTTCCAATTACGGCTACATACTACTTACATATGTCAACATAAATAGCATAAACCACAGATTTAGATGATCGACTTGTAACCGAATAATTAAAAGAAAATTCAACTAATCTAATTGCGTAATTCATTATTAACAATATTATTCAATGACATAAAATCACACTTACTTTCTTCTGGTTTACAAGAACCTACAGGAGATATGATCTGCTGCTGTTGTTGTTGTTGTTGCTGATGGTGATGATTATCAAGATTTGGCTTATGTTCAGTATTGTTTAACATTGAATGATTTTTTGATAATTTATTATTTATTTTATTATTTTGAGATTTACTTAAAGGAAATGCTTCATTTAATAATACCATTAATTCATTCCAATCTGGTAATGATTGTTTAAGTCGATTAGCTAAACTATCAGTATTTTGTATTGATAATAAATATTCAACAGTTGGTTTTAAATCAGCTGGATGTAATGTACCATTAGAAAAGTATTGTTTTAATAAATCCCATTCATTAAGTGTAGATGATTGAGATTTAATATGTAATGGACCACCATTTTTCTCTGAACGTGGAATAATAAAAGGTTCTAAAGTAGAAAGAAAGAAATACAAGAGAATTAACCACGAAACAGTCGAAAATTACCCATCAGTAAGTCAGTCAGTAACAACGTAGACCTTCGTACGTACGTACATCAGCTTGAGTTGACATACCACATTAGCACAGAGATACAGTTGTTGATTCAAATCCCATATTGCTAGAGGTAGTAAAAGTATGAGCAGTAATCAGAACTATGAGGGTTTGAAGATGTTATTCAAGTAGTATAATACAGTGAAGTAAATTTGGAAACATAAAAGAAAGGGACAGGGAGAATTCAAAAGATTATAGTTTGGGAGAACACAAAGAGTTGACGTAGCTGCTCCATTGCAAACGATTTTGAGCCATGTCATTCAACGTCCCTAAATATGGATTGCTATTATCTCGCGGATCCCAACCAGGTAGTCTACACCTACCGACATGGCTTAGTCCACTTGCCAGTGACTTCATGGATTTGTGCCATGTTTTGATCTGGCCTCCCCCAGCTTTCTTCTAACCTACACTATCCTACACCATAAAACATCGCACGCCAGGGCAGTCGGTGGTTGGGCACACGTAACACATGTCCCAGCCATCTCAACTGATGAAGTTTCACTACTTCATCAATTGATTTACCATCCTTACTTAGTACCCGTTTCCTAACAACTGTATTGCTTACTCGGTGGTCCCAGGATATACGAGCAATGTTTCGAAGACACCTACGATCGAATACTAGTAGCCTACGAATATCCTCTGCTCTCACTGGCCACGTTTCACTGCGCAGTCAACCCATCCTTTGACGGGTAGACGGATATCTCGCCTACGTCATAAGTGACGCAAATTGGCAAAAGCTAGTCGAGCATTCTGTATCCGTGCTGAGATTTCGTCACAAATCAGGCCACAAGGGCTGATGAGACTCCCAAGATAAGTGAAGCAGTCGACACGCTCAACTATTTCACTCCCTATCATAAGTTTGGGCGACGATGCAACCCAATCCTGAAGCAACATTTTGCATTTCGAGGGGGAGAATCGCATCTCGAACATGCTTGCATTGTTGCTTATAGTAGTCAGAAGACTCTGTATTACCCATAGTATAAATTGAGAAAAACATACATAAATATAAGTGAACAGTTACACCTGTATCCAGGTTCATTTTCATATACACTAATTAAGGCGATTTATGAGTTAGAGAGTATATCAACTTAGGTAGTTTGGAAAGATTTGACAAAATAAACACGCAGTTAGGTTTTATTACACTGAATTGATAGAGGTCATATTACGTAGACAAAGTTAAAGGATTCAAAGTGGTATATTGTAAAACTTATCGGGTTCGTTCTCATCTCTTACATATAATAAACACCATAAGGATTCGAGCTAACAACCTTAATTGTTGTCTTCAAGAAACAAGACTTTTGTAATATCTGTTTCCCCTCGTTGACCGAAAAAAACCTAACAGATAATATTACTAATTCTTTCGATTATTTGTTTTTTTCTTCACCGTTTTCATACTCGGACTGACTATTGACACATTTCTGATCACGTAACGTTTAGTGATTTTTATTTTGACAACTTGAATAGTTGTTCAGGTTTTGAGCATGTTATCATACTGTCTATAGTTCAGGAATTTACTAATCAACCGGTTACATTAGTGTCGATTTGTACATCTTACTGATTATGATAAGGGAATTTTTAGAGATAGTTGAATTTTCAGTCTAGATCACGAACTGATTTTAGTGAGTTGAAAAGTTTGGAGCAATGGTTGGCTGTTCCATGTGAGTATGAGAGTCCCAAGAAGTGTGCATCACGATCCTTCCGTCCAGGAGTTGAGCTAACTCTTAACCTCTAGACCACTCAGCTGGCATCATACAGTGTAAATGTCGAACTTCAATCAATTCATGATATTTAGCAATTTCCATCTATAGCCTATGGTGGGTAACTGCCTCACACCCGACATGGATTGAGCTACACTGATCACGGCTTCTCATTAGAACTCTTTTCTTTCGTTACCATTGTTCGATAAATTGATTTCGTTGGTGTAATATTTCTCATGTATGCACCATATAAGTACTAATATGAAGTGTTGGTTTATTGGTTAAAACGTCCTAATTTCTGCTACTAAAGTCGCAAGTTCGAAACCCGCTCCGGTTATTCCGGTTTTGGAAACCGGGTAGTAATACAGAGGTTCGGCATCGTGTGTTCGGGCACAGAGACGATAATGCAATCGGTGTCACCATCTTGAAACACCGACTTCGGTGGCTTGGACATGTTCTACGAATGTCGTCCCAGAGAATTCCACGTCATGCATCAGTTACCGACGCTGGGACTGGTTGGAAAAAGCGGAGAGGTGGTCAGTGTGTGACATGGTGTCGGGTGTGAATGAAAGCTGCAAATGACTGGCTTGTGTTGGACCTTCACGACTCCCTGGCTGGGGTCCTAGAGATGGTGCAGCACTGGCTAGAGACGTTATCAGATATGGCTCAGAATAGAAGCTAGTGGTGATCCTGCTGTAACCTTCTTTTACTTTTTTCATAAAAAATGGTTGTTTCTTCCTTAACTGAAAGATTTCTTCTGACTGTACCTTTCCGTTTCCCCCATTATTACTATTATTATTATTATTACACTACCTTACAGTAATCTGTTCGTTATTGTTCTTCTTTTTAACGCTCCTTACATTTTTTTCTCTTCGAATTCTCATTGTTTTGTGTGCCGCATATATATTTGGTGCCCTCTTGTACCAATATTTATGTGTTCAAAACAAATAAATAGTAGTAAATAAACAAGTAACCTGCGTACTTTTCACCTTACCATTTTTTCGTTAACACTGGAATATAATAAGTACCGTCTATGTAAATCAATTTTCTTCGTCAAATTATCTTTAATGTTTTTTTTGGTTGATTCAAGTACAGGTTAATGTACTTGATTGTTTTTGTGTAACAATTAGTAATAACAATCAGTGCACTAAATTGAAAAATAACAGTGGCTTTTCAACTAATAAGTTGCACGTTTGAATCCAAGTTACATTTGTATCAGTTTAAGGAAGTTGATTAGTAATAATAATAGCTCTTACCTATAAAAACACTGCTTACCGTCATGTAAATGAACTTGTATTAGGTATATGAGACGGGGTTCGGACTTGTGACCTCTCATTACGTAATATAATATTAAGATTAAAAAAAGTTAGCAAAAGGATAAAGAGACAGACATGATCTAAACATAATACACACATAAATAATACCTCCAGGCGACAAATCTGGAATTAATACCCAACGGCATATATCCAATATAGGATTTATATCAACATTATTCGGTTGACAAAATGCACGTTTAATTCGACGTTTTAAACCAGACAGTGGGGATTTTTCTAAGGATCCAGGTAAAGATGGTTCAATTAAAGGTAGATAATTATCTTCAAGTAATGCTGCTAGTGTTTTAGCCGATGCTGGACCTGTACAGCGAGATGATAAAGGACATGATTTCATTGGAGGAAATGATGATAATTCACCAATTTGATTAGTTGGAGCTTGAAGACTAATGAGTATTGGATGTGTAAGATGGATAGTTTCAAAAGAATTAGGAAAATGACGTAGGAACTGTAAAGAAAAATACAAATTGTATAGTGAGCAATCTTATAAATAAAAAGTCATACAAACCGTCTATAAACTTCAATAGTAATAATAAAGTGTTCAGTCAGTCAGTAACAACGTAGTACTTTGTACGTACGTACATCAATTCGAGTTGCCATACCACATTAGCACAGAGAATAATAATGTGTTAATTCTGTACAATTCAAAACTTGTCGTAGGTACAGGAAATCTGAGATATGTTACCATCAGGGTTGATTTTTTCTAAACGCCTCCTTCTTATGTAGAATAATAGGATCGTGCTACATAATGGCTATTTGAGAGAAATACATTGCAACCATCACACTTCAGTAGTATAAGTTGATCATTAGACCACAAATTTACTGCTTTCAGCATTGCAGTTGTCCAATGAACTTGTATAATATGGTAGAAATATTAATTCATTACATTTAACACCTTTAATACTTTTAATTTTCGTGACAAAAAACAGCTTAATCCATTCACGCTATAACCTAATGCTAACTTACTAATTTTATACGGTTTTTATCTGTATAAAAACAGTCTTTTATTGTTATCGCTTATACTGTATAAATGAGTATTATACTCTTTCTATTACATCATCATGTCTATTCAGATCGTTTTGTCAAACTTTATATTTTTAATACTTAAATGCGAATTTAATATCTATCAACTCAGTAGAACAAGATAAATAGTAATTTGGCATTTGAAACCATAGATATTTCCTTTTAAAAAATGGATTTAAACAGAAAAACATGCAGTGGGTTAAACTTTCTACTTCTAATTTCGATTTTAAAATTGTCTAAGTTTGAGGCTTACACTATTATCAGTATGGAGATTTGTGGAGATAGTAGTATCTTCACAGTTGAAATCACGGGTCAATCTAAGTTAAACCATCATTGTCGGCCTAGTGATCCAGAGGCTAAGAGTTTGTGCGCGAGACCGAAGGTCCTAGACTCGTGTCTCGTGTGTGGGATCGTGGATGCGCACTATCGAGGAATCCCATACTAATACGAAACGGCCGTCCAGTGCTTCTATGTTTTAAATAATGGTCTAGCTTGTGTTATTGTCGATTGTTACCAAATGCTCTTAATAAAAGTGTAATGCGTATGGTTGCTAAGTTGTTAGCCCCGATTTTTTTTCTATTTTCCAGCTCTCCTCACCCCACACAACTCTGCATGCTCCCCTAGTATACAAAGTACTTACAGGTTAGACGTGAGCCTCTAAGAAACCCAATTTTGATGAGTATCTGTAACAATAAGAGGAGATGCGAATTTCAGCTTCTAACTATGAATAAAGACTGAAATGTTGAACTTGAATATGTTTCAATTAGAAACATACTTGAAATCATAAATTAGCAGGGATGAAACTCACAAGGAATATTATTATTCATATTAATACATAGAATACAATCTCATATGTAAATATACAAAAGAAAATAAACGAATAAAAACACTTATTAAAGTGAATTAATGATGATTAGTAGAATTTAAGTGTGTTTCGTCCAATCTAGAACTCATCAACTGGACGTACTTGCGCATTTCACTGAGGGTTTTTTTCTAGTATTCAAAGATTGAGAACACAAACCCAATACATTCAAACAATCAATATATTATTTACTAAACAAACTACTGAGACCTAAATAGTAATACTAGGACAATCAACACAAGAAGTATATGTACACCAATTGAATTCAGTAGTAAATATCATTATTAATGAAAAGAATAAATAATAAAAGTAAACATATTAACGAACAATGTAATGAATACAAATATACATATATTTACTTTAGATTGGAAAATTTGACGTTTTTGTATTTGTTGTATACTAGCCAAACGAATATCTGCAGATAATTGTATAGTATCAATTAAATCTAAACAAGGTATTAATAATTCACCAAGTGTAGAAGGTCGAATAGATGAATCATTAATTAGTTCAGTATTATTATTATTATTATTGCATCAAGATTAGGATTTATAGTTGATTGATTTGTATTGTCGAATTCAGATAATTTACTTGATATTAAACAATCTGTTTCTGGAACTAAGCTCACTAAACGATAGAAATTTAACATATATCCCCTGAAACAGATATATAGAAGTAGGGTAAAGTTTTTGTTTGTTTGTTTGTTTAAGGAACAATAGTAATAATTTTAAACTTGTTCACTGTTGAAATCACGAGTCGATCTAAGTTAGATCATCATTGAAAACCTGAAGACACTCGACGGTCATGTCGTTCTAGTGTGCGACTCCACGGCAGGGCTCATCCACAATCCTGCACATGGGACTCAAACTCAGAACCTATGGTCTCGTATGCGAATTTTTAACCTCTAGATCACTGAGTTTAGTGCGATTTCAATCAACCCAGGATCTTGAGCAACCCTTCATCCATTGGCTGAGTTGATCATGGATTCTAGTAAGAAGCCGTAACCAGAGGAGTCCAATTCGTGTCGAGTGTGAGACAATTTTCCACCTCAGGCAATGGGTGAAGGGTTGAACAACATCATGGGTTGATCGAAGTTGGACATTAACACCGTTGAGTGCCAACTCAGTGATACAGAGGCTGAGTTCGAGCGTGAGATCAAAAGTTTTGAGTTCCCGCATGCGGGATCGTGGATGCCCACTGTCGAGGACTACCATAATGGGACGAGATGTCCGTCCACTGTTTTTAAATTAACAATGGTGATCTAGCTTAGATCGACTCGTGATTTTAACTGTGAAAGTATTACAATCTCCACAAATCCTCATACTGATAATTTCAAACTTATCTACAATAAATTAGTTCTAAGATTCATGTCAATTTGTATAATAGGAATTGATGATTTTCCAACGTTTGAAAAAAGAATGAGGTGAATAGGTATTCCAGCCTCGATGATATAAGATAATCGATCATTTTATTTCGCTATACGACTATCCGTTTTACTTATTTTACCTATCAAGTATGCTGATATTGATTGGAGAATAAAAATTTCTTCTGCCTTGTAGTTAGTACAAACAGAATATGAGAAAAAGTGACAGATTTACTCTGTACTATCGTATGTTTCATGACACAAAACATATACAATCACAGCATATTATAAACAGGACTCGTCATTTGTGATGTCAAACTGTTGAGTAATAAGAACATGATTAATTTGTTATAATCTATGAATGGTTAGATGTATATCAACAGTTAGTGAGTTAAATGAAAGCTGACAATTGGGATATTATAAAAGTACCACAGAACAAATAGCTAATAATTAAGTTCGTTTATCCTAGACTCAAGTGTTGCATACAAACAACCAGGTCTTGTGAACTGTTAGAAGAGAACCAAAGAATCGTAACTAAGTTGATTCCCGGAATCGCAAACCTACCGTAAGATGAAAGAATGGCTAAACTAAATGTATTCCCTTTTTCATATAGAAGGACTAGAGATGGTTTAATCACAGTTTTTAAATTACTTAATAAAAATTTTGCATCGGATATGCTTTAGTTTTTCTTGTATCCTAAAATAGAAAATTTATGAAAACACTTTTTGAAAGTTCATAAGCTAAGAACCAATTAATTATCAGTTGACTATCGACTTTTCCATAGAATCTTTAACTCAACAGACGATTGAATCACTATCTGTCGATATGTTCAATGGAGAGTTGGATCAACTTAGAGACTCTTGTTACTAGGATTAACACAAGTCACTTTCACAAATTGAAACTGAGTGAATAGCTTTCAAAGTTCCACTTTTTCACTTATTCATTCATATCTAACAGTAATCCATACAGTTCGGGTATTTTTAATGTATCTACAAAGCTGATCTTTCACAATCATTATCACTTCAGCGTTATTTTTCTCGTATCAAGTTTCTAAAAATACTGGATAGTTGAAGAATTCTATCCGCCTGACTATACAAGTATCAAATACTGATTAAATCTATTCGGAACTAGTATAAGACATAAACTGTGAAGAACCGTTCGTCTAATAACTGAACTCTCAAAGATATAATCAAAATAAATCATTTCTGTCTATAAAAAAGCAAAACCACGGATGTTGTTGTGGGGAGCTTGTGTCGTATAGTCGACACTACGAAATAATCTACTGAAAATTAAGAGCCACTAGACAGATGTTTTGTCTTAATATTAGACTCATACGTTCTGCACATCCATGACCCCATCGGTGAATCAAATTTAGCATCTCCAGATTTCGCGGTGAACAAGCCAGCGCATAAAATTTAGGCTACTGAGATCGGGCGATTGGAAATATACCTTCTGGTTTTTAATGGTTTTGTCTTAGTAAGATTAGCTTATGATGTAAATTAATAACACTTAATTCTGTCTGTTTAGTACAAATACCACAAAATAGAAAAAAAATTATCCATTAATAATCAGTAATAACTTACGAATGTAATTGAAAATCGCTACCAAGTATACAGCTAAATTGATTCAGGTTACCACCAAGAGCAGTGAATAAGCCAGTTAAAATTACACGACAAAATTCACCACGTTGTTTAATCACATCCCATGGAATGGAACCACGTAAATGAGCTGAGATATTGTTAATTAATACAATGACCTGTCATTAGAACAGAGTACATAAATGAGTACAAGAAGCAATAGCATTAAAAGAATAACAGCCTGACAAACGATTTAGCTTATTCAGATCATCTTATTCTGGTGTAAAAGTTTCATTATGAACCGTATAGGAAGTGGTAATATAATCAGTAAAAATAATCATTAAATTTCTATTTAGTTACAGTTAATTTCCCAGGCACTTTGAGCTACATTCTGAGTATAAAAGGTAATGATGCTACCCAACACTATTGCCCAAATAAAAGTAGGTTTATCGAGGTTCGAACTTATGACTTAATGGTCAAAAGTCCAAAATCTTAACCATTGTTTTACCGCACAACTGTGTTGTAGAATCAAACTAACCTATCATTCAGGACAGCTCATGCGTTTAAGCCACCTGCTTTCCAACTACGCAAATATTCCAGTTAACCCACTGGTTTTAGAAATGTCTGAACTGAATAACTATGAATGTTAACTGTATGTACTCAAGAGTTATTGAAAAAAGGGTTACAATTTTTTTGGAATGTTAAATACTGAAAAACGTAAACAGAAAGTTTGAAGTTCCTGGTATATTCCCCTTTCTATTAAACCATCTTACGAATGATGGATGGAAAAAAAGTTGTAGGAGCCGTTTTTTTTCTATATAGTGCTGAATTGTCGCAGTATTTTCGTAATTAAATTATTTAGTTCAGAGAAAACAAAACCATCCAAAGTATTCGTCTGAACTATAAATAATCTCCGACATTTCATCATATCATATAACCTTTGAACATAAATTATAGTAGTTTTCAATATCAGTTGTTATGTATTTTATTTAGGTATATTGATTGCTGATCTTATCTGTTAATTGAGACAATAATAAACGCCATTATTATTATTATTGCATACGCTGTTACGTAACAACTAAAACATTATTATTTTGCATTTCGAAAAGCACCGGCTCTACAACAATCATGCTAGATTTGTGTGTTTAGACGAAAACGTTTTTATTTATGTTGTATTCCGTCAGTAAAATTGTAATAAACGAGAACATTTGATTAGAACAGAACAAGACTAAAAAACGTACATAAACACCATCTAATCGTGATAAACGAGCAAGTGATCTCATCGGGATTGAATGGCCAAGATGTGGTAAACCAATCGGTGTAACTGACCATAAACATCGTAGGCGATTAGTTTGATTAAGACGTTTCTCCAGAAGTGATGTACATCCCTAGTAAAAAAAAACATTTTATTAAAAGTAAAAAGGTTAAGTTTTTTTTTCAATGTGAGGTAAAATATACTTATTTATTCAACTCATTTACCAGGTACAAATTTGACTTGTATGCTTGTCTCAGAGCTATACTTCAGAATGATGAGAGCCAGTGATACTATCCGGTTGTGCAAACGATAGTACATGCAGAGGAGTTAGAGGTTGTAACTTAGTGAGGAGGGGGAAGTCAAGCACCCTATCCGGATTCATTTTACTCCATATTCATAGTATCAATAACGTACAATTTTATATAATCTACACCTGAGCATACTGAACATATATTTTTCAAGTGGCCTTCATATCCCACATATTATCCGTTCGTCTTACATTAAAACTCCCCAATTTAATATATATTGTTGTCATTATATGCTTACTAGTGACTAATTTTGAAAGGCTATTTTCCAAAAGTTCTGATGAGAAACCACACCAAGTAGAGTTCAACCATGTCTAGTTTTTGGTGGCAGTTGCCTATCAATATTATTGAATGATTGCATAATATTGAGAACTGAATTAAGTTAGGACGACAATCCATTAGATTTTAATTCAGTCGTAGTGTTAAACGCTATTCACGAGACCTGAAGAGCCTAGATTCGTTTCCTAGTGAGATCGCGAATGCGTATTGTGTTGTGAAGTCCCATACTTAGACGAAATAGCTATCCAATATCTCTTATTTTTTAATGGCTGTCTAACTAACATTAACTTATGACGAAAACTAACGGATAAACTAGAAAACTAAAGAAGATGAATTCAACGATTATGATAAAAAAAGAGGCAAAGTTTACCACAAATTCTTTTTCAAATGAATCCAATAAATTTGAATGATCAGTAATTGTTGGCATGTCATTGACTCTGTTATCTATTTCTTGTAGAATAGTAGATTTTTCATTTGTAAACATAGTTGGAACTTCTTCAAGGTCTAAATTAGAATGTAAACAAAAAAATGTTTATATATCAATTCATAAAACACAAGTTTAGCAATACGATTCGGTAATAATAGTTGTTAAAATTTCAATTTAGAACCAGTGTCTGTTCGATGTCATTTTGTATGTTTAAGTTTCTATTCAACTCCTTTCCTCCTCCTATAAAAAACTTCATTTTAAAAAGTTAGTATTTATTATACATTAATCGTATGTTGATGTCTCCTACTGTGGCGTATGCTACTTATGTTCGTAGGTATAAGTAGTATGTAACACCAGTCGGAAGTGGAATGTCTGCGAGCAGAAGGTTGAGTGGATTGAAATGAAGAGAAGAGAGAACAAAACTGAAAGCAATCAAGATAAAAACAGCAAAGGAGGAACAATGAAACTTGCAGGAGACAATTTAAGGATGTTAAAGTGATGTATTAGATGTATGAATTTTCACATGCTACTAAAGCACTATGTGATTGTGTATTAAACAATAAATTGGTTTACCGCCATCTGAGTTCTCGTTCACAACACTACTATCACAGTAAACTAGTTTACAGCTGAAATATACTTTATTCGGTAGGAAACCATAAAGTAGGCAACGTTTAATTATACATAGTATGTGAGGCTAATTTAGTCAGTTCACGAATGTAATAACGCATCACTGATGAACTTACACTAATTATCAAGAACCATACATATAACCTTGAAATTACTTTCTTAATGGTCTTAAAGTATTTTTGGTTATTTCATTGGATGATTTTATTACTGTTATTATCATTATTATTATTATTATTATTAATGGCTTTATTCAATATTATATTTTTTGGTACAATATGGAATTCTCAGTACAAAGTATTTCGACAAGTTTCCTTTTCTTATTTCTTAATCGATTCTGACGATAAATATTAAGTAATCACCAGTTATATGTTAGCAGTTTAGGAATCGACATCTGAATCGTGTTCATTCTTTTCAATGCATATTGTCAGCCACCAAGATGTCTCTGATTGTACTTTTTTGTAGCATGTACAGTGAAAGGTCGTAAACTTTTCATAAACGCATCTGAATAAGTTATGCGATTAATAGACATAATGATGTGTTGAAACAAACAAGAAAACAGATAACTTGTTGAAATATGTAGATGCCAGGAACAAGTATCCCAGATATTCAAGCAGACAATCAGATGTCAAATTTGAAACCCAATAAAACCACATAGTACAGGATGATTGAAGGTCAAATAATTTAAAGATAGATATATATACACAGTAGACCGTGTTTTTACAGTCTGATGTAAAAAAAACAATTTAATAAAAATAATATATTTGTAATATCCCAATGAGTAGAAAAGTAGTTAAATTTTCTGAGGCTTTGTGACTCAGTGTGTTAGCGGGATTAAGGCATCGTCCGTGCAGGATTGTGATGGGGTACGCTGATTGGCCATTTCCTGACTAATCAGTGCTAGCGAAGACTCTAGAATCTTCTTATGTAGAAATTCTGAATATGCTAACGTTCTTCTTATTGTGATTCCTACTTCCATCCAATCTTTTTATCTGGAATATAATTACGCTCCTGTTCAACCATGTTCTGATTTGAGGACGTGTCGAGTGAGCAGTGTCCAAGAATACTAAGCAACAGGAGTAGCTGGACCATAATGAAAGAAATTATAACACAGTTTAAACCACTTTTTATTCTCTGAAAAAGTGGCATACACTGAGTTATGAAACGTCAGAAAATTTAAAAACTTAATTTATGTACACATTGAGATATTACAAATACATTATTTTTATTAATAACAAACTAACACCCAATGTTCGATTTATTTGAAATTTTCGAATCAAACCTTGGTAATGACACCTACAAATTTGACAGTTAGTTTTGACATCATACAATATGTTATCACCTTCACTGAATGAAATGGTTACAACGAGTAATATGTATATCCCAAACCACAACTCGTCTTGACAATGTTTGCTGGTATAAGAGTAGGTTGGAAAAAATATAAAGGTGAACAAATCAAAACGTGGTATTCGTTCATGAGACAATTAACCATTAGTCCAAGCCATATTGACAAATGCAGACTACCTGGTTGTCGTGACCAGTAGTTGGAGATGTTAGACAATATGGCTCAGAAACAATTACAATGGTGCAGATACATTCATTCACTCTTTGTTATAAAATACACATAACTTTTGTTTGATAAATTTGTGTTTTCTACTCGATTCATACTGTCTTTGGTTAACGTTACTTCTTACTACCATTAATACAGTTGCCACTTCCATCTCTCTAGAATTTGTCTTGCTGTAGGGTGTGGTACAACAACTTGAATCGAAGCATATATGTGCAAAGTTCTACATTGTTTATGACCAACTTATTAACATGTTATCCATCCGATAGTTATCGATCAGATAATCAAAATAAGTTGATAAAAGTAAAATATAATTTGAATACAAACTACAAACAACAACTAACTTACTGGCATTCGCTGAACTAATTCCATCTACCGTAGGATATGCGTTACGTACAAGTTCTTGAAGTTTAGGATCTTTAAAATCATTTTGAATAGTCACCAACAATCCATTTAAACATTCTGTAACAACATTTCTTAATGAATCCGATGGAATTTTATTCATAAGATAATCTTTCTCTACGTCAGTATAATTAAAATAAGGTTTCGGAGTTCGAGGAATTGATAATCCTGTTAAAATGTTTTCAAAGTATAAAAATCACGGTCGAATAGTTAAAAAATAAAATAACTCAGTAACAAATAACTAGATTTTTATAAATCTAGTAATTTATGTAAGGCCGAGATTGATGATGACAATTAACTCAGTTACTATGATATTCATATTTCTTTAACTAAACACATGAACATTGGTACAAAGGGGAATCAAAATACACATGTTCCAAACAAAGTAGTTGTCAATAAATTCATATGTGGACTAATATAATGCCCGGGTGCCTGAACCGAAGCAAGTACTTTTACCAGGGAACCACAAACCTAAAGGCCTGGTCCACAAGACAGTGGAGCAACGTTAGACGATGCGGTCTCATGTTAGCCAACAATAGATCCATACGTCATTTGTTCCATTAGGATTCAGGAGCACATGTGAACCATTGGCTTGGAATCAGGGTTTTCAAACTCCCCCAGGTGGACCCTCCATATCCACCAACCCGGTTAAAGCGTCGGACATTCGCTTTTCATATCAATTTCGTGAACAACAACCCTACCGCTAGATGGCAGTGAGTAGGACTTCCCTGACAGTGGCTATATACGCGTGGCCATATGAAATTTTGAGAGGGAGAGAGGACTATTCCTACTTTCGGCCGTAGCAGAACATTCGGGGGCTGAATAACACAAGAAGTGATTGATATGTCATCAGTGAAGGAATGAATGGATATTTTATTGTTGCTGCAAAGTCCTTGTATTGAGAACACTGAATGAATAAAAGAATTTACTGTCCGTTTATTTTTGGTGAAATTAAATGACCAATTGATGACATAATTATCTTATTTATTACAAAAACCAAGAATTATCTCCAAACAGTGGATTACAAACGAAGTACACAGGTCTAGCTCAGCTAATCTTTTTTGTTGCTTTGAACAGTTGATTATTGGCCTGTGCATCTATCTGAATGATGTGGGTCCAAATGCCAATGCAGGAGAATCAGTTTCCTATGGACTAATGGTACATCTACCTTGTTGATAAATTAACTAGTGTGGATAGTAGGTTAAGGAACGTCTACTGACGAAGACCTCCAATAACCTGCTAATCATCTCAACATAGTAAGATATCAAGTCATTCAGATTAGTGTGGCCATACTGGATCGTGTTTGACAGAGTCTGATTAGCACTGAAAAATTATCAACAAGTATAAAAAAGACAATGATTCAGCGTAAATATCAACACTGGTTGATCATTTATCAGTAATCAGCGTCATGTTTGTCTAGTTCATTAGTAGTGATGATCGTGTTTAAAACTCAAATGTTGACAAATGTATTATTTACAGAAAATTCGAAACCATCATAATATAGGTACCGAAATATTCTACTAATGACTACGCTTTTTCTTCATAAAATCATCCGTTAGAGCAGGGATATACTTATGACTTTCTATTATCTGCTCAATAATCGAGATGAATGGATCAAAAGCCTTTGGGGTCACAATACGAGCTTTGTATGTCTATTCATTGAATTGACATTCCGATCTATGTACCTGCATGCACATTCTAATACCGATAACGTAGGTTGATATGTAGCAACTAGTCTAAATAGTATGTTGGACAATGTTTGATACTTATTGACTGGCCACTATCGGTGCTTAAAAGCTTGTCCTCGTCTAGGTTTTGCGCTAGTTACCTTGCTGGCAGTAAGAAGTATATACAGTTCTGTGTAAACTTATACTCCCTATGGGATTCAAACTCAGGTTATTCAGTTTTAGAGGCGTTAAGGCCAAGCTAATTTCTAGCATAGCTCCTGGATGATTTCCTTCAACTCTTGTAAAGACAATTACCTGATATAGTTGACAAGTACAAAACATAGATGTTGAATTCCAACGTAAAACGAATCGTTATTTTGCAATACAGAAAAATAATTTCGAATGAGAAATCGAATAATTACCTGTTCTCATTGGTACTAAAGGAAATATAACATATTTTAAAAATGCCAAAACTCCATTGCCTTGTTCAGCTGTCATATTCGGTGGACAAACAGATGATGCTAATTTACTGGCAACAAACTCCGGTGGGTCAAGTAGATCAATTTTTGAATCGATTTCCGAAGAGGACATCTTTCCCCCTGTCAATCCTGGAACCATTGGATTCATTAAATGTATTCTTTTCTTATGACCAAGATGAGGTAAATACTATAATAGGAATGAAATTGAAAAATTTTTTAAAATTAAATATGAAAATTTTATTCAATCATAATAAGTACTCTGTATTCTTTCAATGTGAAATCTTTATAACATGATTAAAACAGTTGTAACTAACCGATAAAATTGACCCTCTGTGATCATTAGTATGATTTCTTCGCAGAGATGCTATTTCCAAGATATAAACCTCGGTATTTTTAGAATCTGTAGACTGGTCCACCAATCTTCAGCCAGTCAGTCTGTACTCATTAGATAATGTAAAGTCTAGTACACATATGGACCGGTTCAAGTTGTCACACTAAATCAGCACAGTGAAATAAAATTATCAAGTGAATATTACAACAGCAATATTGATGGCAGGAAAAGATTAGGGATAGAGAATATGGTTATTTGAGAGGAAAGAATGAATTCACAGAATAAAATGGTATGAAGTAACTTTGAAACTCCGGGTGTAAGAGACGAATACAGCTGTTTGAGCGTGATTGATTCGAAGCCATATCAGTCAGTCAGCTACAACGTAGGAAGCCATATCAAACATTTTAAACCATTGGTGTCTCTGTTTAAACCTTAGATCTAATTTCACCATTGCTCACTTATTGGCCTCAACATGTGAGTAAAAATGGGTTCGAGGATATCTATCGTTAGGTAATAATAACCAAAGAATGTCGTCTGGTGCCTGAACGATTGTCTGATATTGATCAATATTAAGAACAAAAACAGTAGTTATATCATTAGGTTGGTAACAACTAACTGTTAGTTAGCAAATGTACCATTTTCAAACCTCGAAACTATATGTGCAGAAACTCAATTTGGCCTCTTCAAGACTCACATTTTCAGATGCTGACTACTAAAGGCAGTAATGAATTACCACACAAGTAAGTCTCAACGAGTTTATTGATGAGACAGAATACTTAAGATATATCATACAATACTATAATGTCACACAATTATTATTATTTATTTATTTATTTTTATTTGAACATAAATATTGGTACAAAGGGGTACCGAATAAATAAGCGCCACACAAGTCACTTAATTTGTGTGTGGGCTGTGATACTACCCGAGTGTTCAAATCGAACCAGGTGATTTTCTTAGAAGGCCACACCCAGAGCCTTCGACCTAAAGACCTGATTCATAAGACAGTAGCGCAACGTCAGGAGATGCAATCCCATGGTAGCCGGTGACCAGGATCCTGGAGCCCATGTGCACCATTAGTTTGGAGTCAGGGTTTTCCAACTCCCCTAGGTGGATCCTCCATATTCACGCCCAGGCCGCGAGGAAGTAGTGAGTAGGACTTCTGTGGCAGTGGCTGTATACGCGTGGCCATGTGGAAGCATTTCGAAAGGGAGGGCGAGCTCTACACACACTCGGCCGTACCAAGGCATTTGGGGGTCACACAAAAAATAACTAAAAGGAAATCCTGAAGTCTCAATTTTAATTCATATATATTGGTTATTTCGATCTTTCTACTGATGTACAGTACTGCAACTGATCAATCTCTTTTGGCATGTGTGCATCCTTTGCCTCGATACTGCCAGTGAGTCACAAGCATTTCTAAGCTGAGGTCACTAGCAGTGAAATTCAGTGCACAAGTTAGTGACTGTCTGGAATAAGTATATATATACTGATGTCTCTTTGTACCAACACATATTTAAATAAATAAATTATAAGGAAGTGTTAATCACAAACTGATCACGTTTGAGGTATCATCAGAAACCGGTAAGTATTAGACAGCTCTTTCGTTCTAGTATTGGACTCCACGCTGATGGTAATAAATGGTCATAGCTCTGTATTGCTGACTAATACTAATAGTTAAGTGTTCGTCATGAGAAATAAAGATCAAGTATTTTATCCCTGACAGGGTCGTGAGTGCACCTTGCTGAGGAATCTTAATTTAGCATAAAATAGCTACTCAGTGCCCTCCGATTAATCATTGTACCCAGATTGCGAATATAACTGACAAATTAAACCATTTTCCATAAAAATCCTTCAGAGTTCAGTATTTTTACTTTTAGTTACTTACCTTTTCAGCTAACATAAATATTTTCCGTTGATCTACACCACCGAATTGAATATCAACATTCAAATGTACTTCATCCAATGCTTGTAATAAAGGATATAATAATCCAGATACAAGTGGATTATTAACTTGTTTAACAACTTCTGCACCAGCTTTACGTGCATCATGAACTGATGTTAAAGCCATTAAACGATATACATCCATAGAATATTCTCTACGATAAGATAATGAGAATAACAATAAGAGAAATTTTTATTTATTCTTAATAGACTTCATAAATAAACATGTATACTCAACTCCGATAAATTGTAAACCGTTAATTGCCTGCTACATCTTTCAGAGAGAATGAAGATAACTATATTTTATGCCATCGGTTAGGGTTTGAAACATAAAACACAAACTTAAGTATGAATGAGGTTTTTCGAGATGTATTGTCAATTTTCTATCCATTTCATAAAAAAGGAATGAAGAGTAATCTGCAATTGTTTAGTTATAATAGTGAAAGCACAAAAAATAACTGACCGATGAAGTAATGTGTACTTGATAAGAACATTTTTTTAAACGCTTAGAACAGTAACGGGACTAAAACATACATACAACAAAGTTACAAAACTGTGAAGAATGAGAGAAAGGCATTGAAAAAAGTATACATATACATACTACAAGAGTAATTTTAATTAAGAACAGGGGTATTTTAAAAATGTATTTTAATGCTAATGAAAAAAGTCTATTAAGACTACTGTTCGCTTTTATTCTGAGCCATATATGATAATAGGTACAAGTCAGAGTTGAGCTATGTCAATGCGAAACGAGTAATGTATATGTCATCATACAGAAATACATTATCGTTCAGATACATAGAGTTAAAGTATTCATCCAGTATTCATATTCAGAACAGTTATGTATGTTAAAATACTGAGATTAAAGAAAAAATGGTTCCTAAATAAATATTATTCGTAAGATGGAAAACTTATAACTGAAAAAAAATATTCAGATTTACAGTATTAGGTCAAACTTACTCAGTTAACTGGTAATCAGCTCCACGTATAAAATGCAGCCGGTCCAATGGGACACAAATTGAACGGAACATTCCTTTTATAACAGCTTCATAATACTTTGTACGAAGACAAAGCAAATACCATGGGGCCTTCATGTTATCTAGATATGCGTGTAAGTCAGCAAAGAGTACAGTGACTTTTGCACCGGTTTTCAGCATATCAGCCAACTTAATAATTGGAACAAAGTATGCTATATGAGGTCTACCAGTTGTTGCAGTACCCCAATACACAGATACTGATGAATTTGGTTTCTTTAAAAGATTTCGAAGTTCATCATCACCTACTACCTCCTGACGTGTAAATGAGAAACACAAATAAAATATATAAACATTTTAGACCAAATTATTGAAATACTATGGGACAGACCTGTCAAGTATTTTGTCGAAGGTTTAATGCTAGTCCTAATGTTATTTTTTAACTAATTTAGTTTACATGCATATTTATAACATAATTATAAACCCGAATCTCGAAAAATATGCAAAACTTTATACATCAGTAGTAGAGACTAACCTGAAGATTCTGGACGAATAACGTGTATTTATCTACTTCCATATTAAGATAAATTTTCGTTAGGTGTTAACAGGGAGACTGATATACAAGTGTAGAATAAAATGAGTCGAATATATGCACTTTGCACAGGCTATAAATAAGTAATCAACCTAATTATTACATAAAAAAGGATAAGGAATCAAGATATTTAATAAACTTATGCAGTAGAGCAACAAACAAAATTTCAAAACAAATGAACCGGTCTGTAAAACGTCATTTTGTGATTTAAAACCGTAATGTTTAGTGGTAAAAAATACAGGGTCTAAGGATAACCCACAAGTTTCTATCTTATGTTCTACTGCTGATGACAGTTATTACAGTATTGGTCTGAATTATAGCAAAACGACATTCAAAAAATCACAATTAGGCATGAGTTAGGTTTTATGACGACTGTAACTCAGGAAGTATTTCGTACCGACAGACGTCGGTTGCCAACTGGAATCCATATGCATCCGGATAGGCCACACGACGCCAGGATCAAGCACAAAGACAAGTTGGAGCTGACTATCCCACCTGTGAACCGTCTTGGTCATTAAAAAACGTGTAAAAGACAGGGGCTATCAACTCGGAAAACTTTATATAGGTGGGCTGCCTGTCTATTCACGTAAGGCTAATACAGACAAACAGGAAGGACAAGTTCACGCGTTTCAAATTGAAAGTATAAATTGCTTATACATGAACGCCACTAGTTTACCGGATAAAATGGATGAGCTGTGTGAACTCAGTAGTGCTAATAATACTCATTTGATAGGAATATCTGAAACATGGATATCTCAATTTATGGACCAGGAGCTAGCAATACCCGGGATGTCTTTGTCTCGCAATGACAGAAAAACAGGACTGGGGGCGGATTAGCCTCGAGGTGGTAGACAATCATACCGAGCACGATACGGATTCATCAAGATTGATAATCTCTTGGTTGTCAACTTGATGTACCTCTGGGCAAGATTGCAAGTATAAGACCACTCAAATTCAAGCCTTATGAACAACGCCTCCAATCACTTAACCTTTACCTATTAGAGTATAGGCGTCTTAGAGGTGACCTTCTAATGGCTTACATTATCCTTAACACTTCTGGACAACCTTAAAGATAACACCTAAAAGCTAGAGACAACATAAGAGGACGGATTCTAGGCACACGTTCTACTCCTTAAGAGTAGTCAAATACCGGGATGCTGTGCCAGTTGAGCTAGTCCAAGCGACTTATCAAGAGTCCTTTAAGATTAAACTTGACATATTCTTAAGGACTAAGGACAGGATCTCGTTATAATTTTCTACTCTTGTCTTTTACCGTTAAATATACCTGGGTCCTTACCTGGAGACATCGGTGATCCACAGCTACAACCTACAGAAGCCCGTTAAGCGAAAGACTCTTCTATTCCGTCAATGACTATTTGAACCATTTATATGTGCCACATTTACACCTGCGACCTGGTTTACTTAGTCTGTTGTAAACAGTTACTGCGAGATCTGTACGCGCTTCATGGAACCAAAATTTGCATTTGTCACACTGCATGCCACAGGTGACAGCAAAACGGCATTCAAGTCGCTTTCATGAGTTCTATATGTCTCTGTTGATATGTGAGTTGTTAGATGGACCATAGAGAGTTTAAGACCGTGGAAAAGCAATAAACGTAAAATACGAATGAAAAACAGGTCGTACAAAGGGATATGTCACACTTAAACTAGGCTTGGTACGGAAAATTGTGGAAACAGAATAGTAAGCTGAAGTAAAAACCACATTCAACTATTAATTGAGTAAAGCTTAAAAAGGAAACTAAGGAACGTTTATCTCAGAACAGGTTCTTTGTATCAAAAATGGAACTTTTTCGCTTAAGAACACAACAAAACTTTGAGAAATGGAAACCACGTGAGAGCATAACTTCCCGTTCGTAAAACAAATGACTATAAAATTACTTGTTTGTGGTCGTCAGTCATCAAATGATACTAGTAGGATTAAATTTAAATAAGCACTTACCACCCTAGGGTCCAAATTAGAGCTAACTCAAATACAATAGTTACTAACACATTCCTGAACACAAGACAGAACACGCAGTTAAAATATGAGTAGCGACAGTGTTGAGATTGCCGCTCAAATAGTTCAAATGAGTGTAGAGTAGAAGAAGTTTTCGCTTAACAGGCCTCCGTGTCTAGTATCAGTGGGTCACCAATACCTCCAGACAGGAACCTATGTATATTAACGACAACAGAGAAAAAAAAGTAGTTGGTGAATCGCTGCAAGACATTATCCTTAGTCAAGTTAAATTTTACTGAAGATGACACAAGTTAAAATGTGGCTCTGAATAATTAAAGAGCGTAAGGCATAATAACTCTTGAAAGAATACCTTTAGTGTTCGAAAACCTTGATCAAAACTGTATAAGTCTATCAAGACAGGTCTTGTAATTAGTGCAGCGCCATAAGGTAGAGTGTATAGAGAGTTATTTTATAGCGACTCACGTGCAATTGAGTTTAGTTCAGTCAAGGTCTTTTGTTGATCTATTTAATGGACAAAGTCATCCATGCTATAACAACTTGTTGTACTATCATTATTATTATGCTTGTATGAAATACATATGCTTGAACATTGTTTAGCGCCTACGCATGTATTCATTCTGCTAGCTTCATTATTAACTGCTTAGTCTATTCGCTGACTCATCCATTTTCCTATACATATATATATGTGTACATTTGCACCCATTCACTACAACTACTTGCTACCGCTACAATCGTAGTTCGCTTGCTCATTCATTTTGCCTCTCTGCTGTCTGGTCCGAATTATCTACTAAATAAACTGTAGTAGCTGCTTCTTTTTGCCTTCTGATTTCAAACATCGTTGAAGATTATACGATATCGAAGCACAGCCACTACAGAATTGGTAATCCCGACGTGAGAACGGGAAGCGAATTTCGGCGAAATAATCAAATCCCGAAAATCCGAATCTTTTCATCTCAATTTGAATTACCAAATGAACTATAATTACAACTGTGGATTTATAATATTATTTTAATTACACTTACATTATTTCGCAAACATTAATAAACGCGACGATTATAATCATAATAAACAACAATTATCCATAAACAATTGATGTATTAGTGCAATTTAGTAAGTCTGTTCCATTTTATAAATTGTGCCATTTTTTTATTATCATTGTTTTTACCCGTCTATTCTTCCTTGTGACTGTTAAATTATTTTCGTGTGCTACTTAATTTTTATAAGTATGTCTTACGAAAACACAGTTCCAAGCGTACAGGAAGCCTCGTCCGTGAGGTCTCTTAGCCTCCGTGCCCCTTCTTTTAAAATCACAGACCCAAAACTTTGATTTATAAGACTTGAAAATTATTTTCTCGCTAACCGCATTCTTTCGCAAAAGGATAAGTTCGGCCTGACAAGCACACTACTCCCAGACGAAGTAGCTGACAGCGTTTGAGAGGCACTAGCAAAACCAGACACAGAAAAACCATACGACGTGCTAAAAGAGGCAGTAATTAAAACTCTCTCTCAGTGACCAACAAGCCGTCGAACAACTCCTTAGCCAAGTACAAATTGGAGATAGAACCTCATCACAACTAAAAAATTATATGAAAAGTCTACTTGGCGATAGACACATTGACAATAATCTCTTTTATCAACTGTGGCTCCGCCGACTCCCGGCAAATATACAGCAGATCCTAGCTGTGGGAGATACGGATGCTGATTTAGACAATATAGCAAAGATAGCCGATAGAATATACAAAAGAAGCAAGCAAGCAAGCCCTCCACTACTCAACGTGACGGTAGACGATAGACTTGATACTCTACAGAAGGAAATAAATGTTTTATGTCGCAAACTCACAGAATTAACGCAGAGAGAAAAGCCACGAAGAGCATCGCGAGATCGCTCGCGTGAAAGGACCCGGTCAACTTCTAGACGACGCACGACTCCCGCGATATGTTGGTGTCATCAAATGTTCGGCTACAGGGCTAGAAAGTGCCTACAAACTTGTAGATTTAACAGGGCTAGTAACCGATACCCACGAGTATCAATGGCAACGGCATCAACACACATAATGCCTGAAAATAGTCGCCTCTTTTATATACAAGACCGAACCACTGGCGCACAATTCTTAGTTGACACTGGAGCGGAAATTAGCGTAGTACCTCCATTTAACGAGGAAAGAAAAGACGTTAATCCGTCATTAGTGCTAAGAGCAGCAAACAAATCAGATATTAAGACATATGGTAAACGGAAATTGTCCCTAGATTTTGGACGTGGCGCTTCATACTGCTGGAACTTTGTCATAGCAGATCTGCTAGTAGACTCTCGACGACACAGACTTATAAACGGCAGTCAAACCACTTCGATAAGAGGAATACTTACGGAAGCCGTTTCAATGAACCTTGTGATAGATAAAAGTCGTGGTGATCCATTTAAATTGTTGTTAAGGGAGTTCCCTGAACTCGTAAAAGTAACATACAATAAAGCGGATCTCAAACATTTTATTCAGCATCACATCGTAACGAATGGTCCACCAATCAATGCAAGACCAAGAAGGCTAGATCCCAAAAGACTAGCTATCGCAAAACAGGAATTCGACAAGCTAATAAGGCTAGGCATTATAAGGCCATCGAGCAGCCCGTGGGCATCCCAGCTACATATGGCCCCGAAAAAGAATGAAGAGATTAGGCCATGTGGAGATTACAGAGCACTGAACAAACAAACAGTAGCTGACAGATACCCTATACCGCACATTCATGATTTCACCTACAGTATAGAGGGCACTACTATCTTCTCGAAGATCGACTTAGTCAGAGCATACTACCACATCCCTGTTGCCCCACAAGACATACCGAAGACAGCAGTAACAACTCCATTTGGGTTATATGAATTCCTGCGTATGCCTTTTGGACTGACTAACGCGGCACAAACCTTTCAGCGGTTTATCGATCAGGTCATTAGAGGTTTACCTGTGGTATACGCGTATATCGACGATTTATTAGTAGCTAGCACCACTAAAGATGA